CACACTCATCACATCCTCCCTCCTCCCAGATTTATACAACAGCCCCCACACCCACCCACACACACACCCCCACAACCACACCCCCACCCACCCAAAACCACAACCCCCCCCCCACACACAAAAACACCCCCCCCCACACACACATAAACACACACCTCCTCATAAATCATATCATGCGGATCTCCTGGACCGCCACTCCGCGAGTACACATCCGCTACTCCCAAGCGCTGCTTCCGCCTCGCCATCGTGGTTCGGACAGTCTTTGCAACTTCATCCATCGAAGAGCCTGCAGAAGCAACACGAGAAGCCGCGTGGCGCAGACGGAAAAGAGAGCCACACAGAGTTGTACCCAGACTGCACGCTAGAATGAGAGATGATGCAGCAAGTTGTAGCGACGCGCTAAAAGCCACTGCAACACCGGACATGGGAGTGTTTGTCTATGTGGCCTGAGATCGGCGAAATCGTCGGGAGGAAAAGAGGCGGAAGAAAGAGACTGCACACGATGTATCCAAGGCAAAAAGTGGATCTACGACATGGTGGCCAACGGACTCCCGAGGAAGTCTCTTTCGAATTGTCGACAGCCATCGAAGAGCTCTTCAATCATTTCAAAGTGGACTGCATGCGTCTGCTCGAAGATAAGCTCCCTCATCGTTGCGGCACAGGCACGAGCCTTGCTTCTGGAGACACAGGAAGAGACAGCACAAGACGTGGGCGCTGCCGCATTGAAAAAAAACCTTGTGAAAGGCACAGCACGGACAAGCAGGGCACCAAACAAGGACAAGAAAAAAAACACACACAAAGGCCACAGCGATAAAGCTACTGAAACAGACTCCTTGCAGAAACCGGTGCAATGATAGTGAAATTCTATTGGAAGCAAGTGCTTCAAAAGAATGTGACAGAGAACACAGGACAATTTCGAAGAGACATGTGAACACAAGCAACGGAAAAACAGGATCTAAGAGGAAGGAAGAGATGAAACGACAGTTCAGAAGAGTATGTGTGTATGTGTGTGTGTGTGTGTGCGTGTGTGTGTGTGTGTGCGTGTGTGTGTGTGTGTGTGTGTGTGTGTGTATGGGTGTGTGTGTGTGTGTGAGTGCTGACACTGCCAGTCAGCCTACAACAGAGTTCTATCCACACCTGCAATATTCATCAAGAGCCTGATCAAGCTCGTCCATAAACCTTGAATTTTCGGTGAGGAATTTGAGCCCGCTTGCCAGATCTCCCGTGCTGATCTGTCTCTTGATTTCTGCGGCTGCCGCGCGCAAAATGCGTCTTAAGGCACATGAGGATGCACATGTTGCCAGACGGACCAAGTGCAGCATTCCCCCACGCACGTTGGACTGTAGAAGATCGGCGATAAGGGGCTCCCAGTCGGCTTTGTCCATGACATGCCGTACAGAACGCATCATCTGAACGATGCACAAGACAGAGACTGCTCTCAAACCGCTGTGCAGATTACAGGTGCAAAGATATATCTCAAAAACACACGCAGAGCAATTCGAAACGCCGGCCAATATTAACCGCGCTCTTTTCCTCAGAGTACATACTTACATGTGTATACTTACATGTACATACTTGCAAGTATACACTTACATGTACATACTCACATGTATATACTTACATGTACATACTTGCAAGTATACACTTATATGTACATACTCACATGTACATACTTGCAAGTACACACTTACATGTATATACTCACATGTACATACTCACATGTGTATACTTACATGTATATACTTACATGTACATACTCACATGTATATACTTGCAAGTATATACTTACATGTACAGACTTACATGTATATACTTACAAGTACACACTTACATGTATATATTTACATGAACATAGTTACAAGTACAGACTTACATGTATATACTTACGTGTACATACTGACATGTACATACTCACATGTATATACTTACATGTATATACTCACATGTATATACTAACATGTACATACTTGCAAGTATGCACTTATATGTACATGCTTACATGTATATACTTGCATGTATATGCTTACATGTACATACATACATGCATGTACTTACAACTACAGACTTGCATGTATATACTTACAAGTACAGACTTACATGTATATACATACATGTACATAGTTACATGTATATACATACATGTACATAGTTACATGTACATGCTTACATGTATGTACTCACATGTATATACTCACATGTATATACTCACATGTATATACTCACATGTGCATACTTACATGTACATCTTATATTTATATACACATATATATCTATAGATATGCGGATAGACAGAGAGATATCCGTATCTTCATATACAGGAAGTGAGGCGAGCGTGGGCAAGTGGAGGCTGTTAAGGGCGCTGGACAGCGGGGTGCAGTTAAAACAGCTAAGAGTACCATAAACGAAATACACCGAAAGGAGCCAGAGCTGGAATCATTCCAGCAAGCAGTAGTCAACGACTTGGATCATGCTAGCTAGAGACAGCTGAAAGCGTGAATTTGAGTCTTTTCCGCACTAATTTTGCGGTGATCTAACAGGTAATGCATGCAGAGACGCACATATGTACGTGTACCGGTATGTGTAGACGCCTCTGTACACGTTTCCTACCTGCAGAAGTACATCTTTGGTAAAGCGCCTGTCTGGTTCTAAAATGGAGATGTGGAATTTCATCCATCGTCCTAAGTGCGTTAAGGAAAGCTGATTGAGCAGCCGAACGTCGGCGAACTCTCCGGCCACTCGTTGCATGAGAGTCAAGTCTGAATCTCCGACGGCTGCAAAGATGCGACGTCATCACAGTTCGAAATGCAGCAATTTGCATTCCACCTAAGCCGGAGAAAAATATCACTATTTCGAGGCGTTCTCCGCGAGGCGGCTTAAATCGGAACGCCGGCTTCCTGTCAAGCTTTTTTTGTGAAGCTTCAGCTCCTAAAACTCACACTGCCTGTCGCTTTCTCCAACGGCGTCCATGAACAATTCATCTAGCCCAACTGACTCTTGCGGTGCTGCTTCGTTGGGGAGGCCTTCCAGGTCAGGCCCTAGGAGGGGGTGGATAACGGCATGGCCTTTGTACAACGCTGCTGTACCGTCAGCTACAACGGCATGCGCATGATGCATGTGCGAGCGCACGGAATCTTGAAGAGGAGCTGCACACACACAGGGAGGCTGGGGAGAAGGAAGGGATCGCATGAGGCCGGCAAAACTTTTTATCGCATGCACGACATGCGATAAAAAGGGGGGTATATAGCGAGGGAAAGACTCTGGGGAAAGGACAGCGAGAGGCGACTATCGCGGGTGCATGAGCGAAAGGTGAGGATAGAGGCTCCAAACCTAGCCGCTCGTCGGCTCTAGGGAAGAAAAAAGCATAACACATCCAGAGATGGCATACAAACAACCTCAAGGGGGGGAAAATGCAAGAAAAAGTGCTTTGCGGCTCCGCGTAGTCATCGGCATGCGTCCAGCATATTCATACCTTGTTCAGCATTTGCTGACTCGACAGAGACGGAGTGTATCTCCACCGGCCGAAGGCCGATCCAGCCATCCGGCCGAAAGACACGCTGCCAACAGCGATAGCCGTGAGGGGGGATATTCTTCGGATTTACCAACTGCAGGACCGCAAAATACACCAAATACGCAGCCCATACAAGCGTGGATGCAAGCGTCAACAAGGAGCGTGCAGACAGCCAAGGGAGGCAAGTATGACGGAGGAGGCCGATTTTTCACGGAGCGGCACAGAGACACACACACAGATACGTCAAAAAAGAATAACACGCCCAAGAATATTCCATCCTTTAAAACTTGAGAGTGTAATGGGAAGGAGAGCAGCAGCCAAACGAGCAGCCAGAGGAAAAGCGAGAGGACAGGGGGCTTGGGTTGTGTGTATATTATGTGTGTGTGTTTGTGTCTGCGTGTGTATTTGTGTTTAATTTACCGTCTGAAGAGAAAGAATCACAGTTAGGCGCTGCCGATCTACACTTTTGGATTGTGTTTGCTCTGTCTGCGCGCAGAAGCAAGTCTCAATACGCCGTGGGAAGATCCGCTGAGCCCAACAAGCTTTTAACACGCTTTCTAAGACAGGCAAATAACTTATCAGAAAATGGACTCAAGCCATTGTTCTATACGACACTTGGCGTCCGAGGGCATCTACGTCTGCTGTGCATGCATACAGCAATGTATCGAGAGGCAACACACAACACCGTTGTAGGGGGCTTGCACTCGATATCTGTCTCTCTCTCTCTTTCTCTGTCTCTGTCTCTCTCTCTCTCTTTCTCTCTGTCTCTCTCTCTCTTTCTCTCTCTCTCTCTGTCTCTCTCTGTCTCTCTCTCTCTCTCTTTCTCTCTCTCTGTCTCTCTCTCTCTCTTTCTCCTTCTACTTGTCTATCCGTCTGTCTGTCAATCTGCATGTGCCAGGCTGACAGCTGAACGGCCGCCCTGCATGGGGGCAGGGTGTGTCTTACCAGTGCCTGTGGACTTCGAAAGTAGAAGGTGACTAGCGCATCTCGGCTGTAAACCTTGTTGTCAGAATTATGAGCGTCCTCTGCCTTCTTCGTTGTGTGATCACCTGCTTCGGCAGAATCCGAGACAGTTTGCACAAGTCCGAACATGTTGGTTTCATCCTTAGACAACATGTATCGCACGAGCTGGCCAGGCTGCGTAACAACTCGTCCATTAGGTGCTCCTGGAAGCTGATATTTTTCTGCCTGCATCACGCAAGTAGCATCCCCAGAAGAGGCTCCTCGCAGCATGCCACTCGCTAAAAAACGCAGTGCGTTGTATCTGTCTGGCCAGAAAAAAGGGAAAAAAACACAGCGGGCAGTGCTCTCAGGGGGATGCAGCAGGATAGAGGCCGTCTAGAGGCATGCATGCTGTCTTGCCTCCTCCTGCTTCAGACGCTCAAAGTATTCCTCTGCTTTTTTCTGAGCGCGCACAAGCACGTCCAAGAAAAAGTGAGAGCAACGGTGCTGTCCTTTGCACAGCTACTCCGTGAGCTTCGGAGGGCAGATGCATGCACACAAAACAAGCCGCTTGCGATACGACAAAGCACACTGCGATCATGCATCCCGTCACGAGAGCCGCTGCTTCACCATCGCAAAGCAGGACAGATAGAGAGACAGATAGAACACTAGACAGAGACAGACAGAGAGGCGAAGGCGCATAGACAGAGGCCGACAGATAGAGACAGACAAAGCACCAGACAAAATAGACAGAAGCAGAGGGATAGAACCAGATAGGGTAGGATACAATTTGACAGACAGACAGACAGATAGATAGACCACTAGACAGAGACAGACAGAGAGGCCAAGGCGGATAGACGAAGATAGACAGGTAGAGACACAAAGAGAACGTTTGAGAGATAAAGCACCACACGATTTGGGATAGAACCAGACAAGGCCGGATACAACTTGACAGGCAGATAGAACGAGGCAAAAAGGCAGAGACAGATAGAGCCGTACAAAAAGCCGTACAAAATAACGCAAATCCATTAAAAGCCGACACGAATGCATTCAAAAGCATCTAAAAGATACGAAGCCAGAGAGATAGATAAGGCCTTAACACAGAACAAGGCTCGATGCAGCTAATGCCTGTGGTGCGGCTGCCTCGCGGTGTAAGGCCCTTCACGCTGCAAAGCGAGAGAAAGAGAAAGTCTGTGAGGCGTCTATCTGTCTCCTCCTCTTCCTCCTCCCCGCATCCGCTACTACTGGTTGTTAGGAGAGTCTGCCTCTACCCAAATGCTCCCTCTACAGCCGTCCTCTTGGGGGGGACCCCTGCCTGCAGTGTATCCGCAGCTCGCGGCGCGATTCGGGAGCTGATGAGGGAACAGCTGAAAATACCCTGGTAGTCTGCAGAAACTGGGGATCGTATTGTTCTGGATCGGGAAAGAGTTCGCAACACAGCTTGTGGCCAGCTTCAAGATTCTCGTTTAAAGTGCCTCCATACACATCCATGAATGAGGCTCCTCCTCGTGGCAGCCGAATAATGACGTAGTTGCCTGTCATTAGCTCTGTGACAATTTGTAGCAGCTCCCGCAGATACAGCTTCACATATTCCCTACAAGAAGGACGGAGGCAGAAGCAGCAGCAAACACAGCCGCACGGAAACGAGAACGCTTGCGAACTCGCGTTTTTTTCGAAAAAGAGACAAAGACGAGAGAGGCGCAAAAACGTCTCCACGGCAACTGAGAAGAGCTGCCTCCTTGTCACAGCTCCACCAGCCAAACACTCTCACAGAAAACAGAGAAAGACAAGAGGAAGCAGAACAGCCGCGGCAGGTGTGTATGCATGCATGCGTGCTTGTTTGTTCGCTGTGTTTGTGGGTGTGGGTATCAGTGTGTGTATGTGTGTTTCTGTATGGATGTATGTGTCTGTGTGTTTACGCGTAAGTGTGTGTTTGCATGTTTTTGCATGTATGTATGTGTATGTGTGCTTATGTGTAAGTGTGTTTTTGCATGCATGTATGTGTGTGTTTATGGCAAGCGGCCAAGAGACCGCAAAAAAGGCGAAAAATGCATCAGTCATTCGGAAATACGTATGGCGGCAAAAATGAGCAAAACACGTGTTGAAAGGCAGCAACGAAGGGAAAGCAGACCTTATGGACTGGGGGGACTGCTCGACGAGCTGATCTTCGATGTCTCCTATCCGCTTCTGCGTCTCGCTCCTCTTCCGGCCTAAACGCCTCTCTAACAGACTCAGCTGCTCAGACAGCAATGACTGCATCACAACAATAACCGCGAGCGAGCAGCAGCAGCAACAACAACAACAGCACCACCATGAGCAGTGCCTTCGTAGCTCTTCATGCCTCTCTTCCTTAGGAAGCCCCCTTGTTTACGCCTCTCTTGCTCTCTTTCTCGATTAATCAACATTCTCTCCCCACACCCACAACCTCCCCTGCATGCGTATAACTCCCTCACAGGGTTCTGTAACTTCCTGCACACACCGCCGCTCTGCATGCCTTTTTCTGAAAGTGTCTGAACAAGCAGTCCCGTGCGTTAGGCTCGCGCTCACTGCACACTACGCACGATCTACCGCATACCTGAAACTTATCGTTGAGCTCCGTCTTAAACTTGGTTGGACTGAAGAAATCAGACAGCGTTTGCTGATCGGGGCAGACATCGAAGGCAGAAAAAAGGAGGTGCTGGACGTCTCTATGGCCCTCCTCCATTTGCCTTTGCATGCTCTGCTTGCGAGACAAGAAGTTCCCCTTCTCCTTCTCCTCTAGAGAAAGCGAGAAGAGCTCTAAGAGGTACAGCGGCAGAAGGTTTCCGTTCGCGTCCTGAGGAACGGTTAGAATTGCATACACAAAGACATGCGGCAATATACATTCTTGACTAACCTAGCCCCCCTTGAAAAGCTGCTCTCATGTGTATGTTTCTCCAGTGAGACATATACACATGACCTACGCGAAAAATATTGATTCCTACGCACAAAATACGTGAAGATTCAATCAATTCGCTACATAAGCTGCTACGCTGAGAGGCCCAGGCGTCCCTCCTCTATAAAAGGCGCGCTTTTGCAAAGAGCTTCGTTCCACAAATCTATCTTTTTATTTCTCTTTTTCTATCTCTCGCTTTCCCTCTCTATTTCTCTCTCTCTGTCTCATTTCCCTTCGCTCTCTATTTCTCTTGCTCTCTCTCTCTGTCTTTCTCTCTCTCTCTCTGTCTTTCTCTCTCTCTGTCTGTCTTTCTCTCTCTGTCTCTCTAGCTTGTTCTGCATCCCATGTGACTGTACCTTGACAGCCCGCTTCCTGACACGGTCCAGCAGCTGCTGCTGCGTTTTCACATCGTTTTTTTCGTTTTGAAGAAACTCCCGAGCTCTTGTACCAACGACCACCGTCTGCGAGGGAGTAAGTCCTAGACCTGCAGCAGCAGCAGCAGGTGAAGAAGCTCAAGAAAGACAAGCTTAAGGCCTCTTTTGTTGCCTAGCCTGTAAGACGCGTTCAACGCAGGCATGCAAGGCAAGGCAACGCAGAGGCAGACCACCAGAGAACAGACAGATCTACACGTACAGCAAACGGAAGTACAGGGCTAAGCCACACGCAGACAGACAGAGAGAAAGTAAGACAGACAGGCGGAGTGAAAGAGCGAGGGAGAAAGAAGGACACCCCCTCTCCAAGCGTCATCACACCCCCCCACACACATGCAGCGAGCGAGTGCCTTGGGAAGAGGGAGTTTGATCCTTGTATTCTAGCATCACACCCAAACATCGAAGCGGCCTGGAAACTCTCAAGACGCATGTAGGGCACACAGAGGGGCAGTAGCGGTCCGTCTAACAAAGGGCATGCCGCACAAACAGCAAATGTAGAATTTTCTCTCTCTTGCCTTTAGGCCCTGGGGAAAGAATGAACTCTCTGAGGCTCCATGGCCAGTTCGCGGGATCGTCACTGGCCTTCTTCACAAGAATATAGAGGTCATTGGGATTGTTTTGCACATAAGAGCGAACTACTGCACGCGTCTGTTGCGCGCCCATCTGGGAGTCATCTTTGATTCCCGGCAAGTCGACAAACACCGCATGCACACCTGTATTAGATTGACGCAACGCAAGGTACATACACCCCAAAAAATGAGGTCCTAATGCACAATACGCAGCCCTACCACACACAGAAGAGAGAGAGATAGAGATAGACTGAGAGAAATAGAGAGATAGAGAGAGACTGAGAGAGATAGAGAGATAGAGAGAGACTGAGAGAAAGAAAGAAGGCGAGAGAGAAATAGAGAGATAGAGAGAGAAAGAAAGAAGGCGAGAGAGAAATAGAGATAGAGATGGGGAGAAATAGAGAGATAGAAAGAAGGCAAGAGAGAAAGAGAGATAGAGATGGGGAGAAATAGGGAGATAGAGATAGAGAGAGAAAGAGAGTGAGCGATACATACATACACATACACATACACATACACACACACACACAAAGCCTCCTTGCGCACTGGCGGGGGATCGCAGTAAAGGGGCCTTAAGGAAACAGTGCGAGATACAGAGCAGCATAAAAAAGATCAAGAGACACCCTATTGCCTCGTAAAAGCGGAAAATCAGCATTTTTCTTAGGGCCTTTAGAAGCGGTTAGCGCAATGTACCGTTGGGGACGGCAATCTCGACCTCGAGCTCCTCGCTGCTGATATTTTCTCCCTGTGCAGCCATGATCTCCTTCATCTTCTGCTGCAGCTCCTTGATGGCAATCGATTGATTCTTAAGCCGACAGGAGACAGCGCCCGTTTCGCTCGGCCGGAGCAAGATGACCACTGGCTGCCGTGTGCCTGTGTCTGTACTGCTGTATCCTATGGGGCCCCCCATGATGTAGTCTGCAGCAACACACATGGCATGCACATGACATAAAAACACGTACACGTGTGCGCGCGTTCTTCGCGAATCACGGGCAGGCCCCTTATGCCAGCATCTGCGAGGCAAAACAGCGTTCGTCGCGCAGCTGCATCCTGCCGACACACCTAGAAGCGTTGTCTTCCCCATGCTCTGCTGGCCAAAGACAACAAGGCGGGGAATCTCCGCCTCCAGACCTGCGAGTTTTAGCAGCTGAAAGCACAAGAGGTAGGAGCCGTTGGCGTCGGGGGGGCCCCCCTCAGCACTCCCTCTCATTGAAGCCAAGATCTGGCGAGCCTTGTCTAAGGCCTCTACGGAAACGTCTGAAAGTCGCTCTACCAGCTGATGGCCGGAAGTGCCGCTGGAGGGTGCAGCAAATGTGCTGCTGCTGCTTGTGCTGCTGCTGCTTGTGCTGCTGCCGCTTGTGCTGCTGCTGCTTGTGCTGCTGCTGCCGTTGTTGGGGGAAGGGGCAAGGGTCACCCCCTGCGGGGGCGACCCTCGTCTGCTCAAGCGACTCGCGAAAACACTCATCGTCGTCGCCACTCAGGGATGGGGGGTGTCTGTACACCTCGTGGCGTCTTGCGGTGGTGAGGCGCAGCTGCTGATGTGGCTAAGGTGGGCTGCAGTTCCTGCTATCGCCCCTCAAAAGGGGCCCCTCGTTGCTCGTTACCAGAGGCTCCTGGGAAGGGGCCCAGGAGCCCAGGCAGAGAGTAATCGGGAGACACGCCAAGAACTCTTTAGCGGTGTCGCCAACCACCACTTGTCGGGGAGTGCGGGAAGGGGGCCAAAAGCCCTTCAAAACGCATGCATATTTCGCCGTGCTGGCTCCACACAGGCCACCCTGAAACGCAATGCGCTTCAAATATCCAGTTAGCGACGATTACAACGGCGAGGCGGAGGCTGGTTGGGTCGGGGGGCCCCTTGTAGGCCCCCGAGTACCCCGCTGCTCTGCTACGCGGGCGAAGCTCTCCAAGGAGCTGTGTGGCTGGAGACTTGGCAGCCTATTTATTTTTTATGATTCAGAATTCCCTGAAAGGACTTCACGAAGCTCGCCACTGAGAGAAATAGAGAAGGGGCGAGCCCTCCCGCAACGCACGACTGGCGATCCACTTGCGTGGTGTGTGGCTCATTGCGCAACAAGGCTACATAGATCGCCAAATTCGTGATTGCCTCCGTGTGGGTGTCTTTCTTTCCTTATTCTCGCTAACTCTCTCTTCTGCCTCGGCTGGGCATTTTAGGGGGGTATGCAAGCTGCACTGTTGCTCTTCCTCCTAAGGGGCCCCATAACAGCACTGTTGCACGCAGTGCGATCTCGCTGTTGCCTTCCTTTAACGGCGAAGCAGTCTTTTAAGAGCGTCATTTTGTATTCAAAGGCGCGCCCGTCAGCCTCAAGCCAATCCAGTAGGGGCTCATGAAAGGCCCATGCATTCTCTATGTCTGTCTCCTGGTACCTTCGTGGCATCTTGGTATTTGTATTGTCGTATGTATTGCCTTGGAAGGGGGTTTTGCCCTTCGGCTCTTCTTCTAGGCTTCATCTGTCTCTAAGCACCAAGGGAAGTGGGGATCCCTTCTTTGAAGATCCTCGTGGGGAGACTTTTAGCCCCTAAGCTTCGTGTGGACCTTTCAAAACTATCTGCCTCACCCAGTTTTCCTTATTCGCGCCTCACTAGGCTGGTGCACGTGGGTAGACGGGAGTGCTAGGGAGAGCTTTGCCACAGCTTCTGAGGGCTACCAAAGATCTGTATGCCCTCTTGCGCATGCCAACTCAGCGCACAGGCACAGCATCCATTGTCGTGACGCAGAGACTACGCTCGAGACTGCCCAGCAAAATGATGTGTGCGAGCAGCAGAACCAACTTGCAGCGGGCCGAGCCATCTTTGACTGCTTTCTACCAGCGACACAGAATTAGTAAAGAAGTATGCCGTTTGTACTGCTCGTTAAATGCAGAGTACTGTTAGAGCGATACAAGAAGATGTAATGTTGGGTGCGACTGCGCTAGATGCTTCCTCAAGACTAGCAGTGCACAGCAGGAGTGCTTGCGGGTTGCCGAAACTTGCTTCTTTACACTTCTCTCCTGTCGGAAATTCAGAGAGGCGCCCTCGGGGGAAGGCGGGAGCTCTTGTGGGAGACAAGAAAATTTTTCCATCGAACTTCCAAAAAGTGTAGAGATATTAGTTCCACATGAGGACTTTAGAGACAGCGCCAAACAATCAGTTCCTGCCTGTCGAATCCTCGTTGGCGTTGCTGCAGAAAGTGTGAGCGCGAAGTTTGGAGCACAGTTCCATTAATCATTCTGTAACCACAAGTGCCACCTCCGGTGGGTTGGAAGCCCCTCAGATTCACTGACTCTTGAGCTGTGTGAAAACGGCAAAGCCTTTTTGCCTCGTATCTTCAAAGGCTCAAAATAAATTTGGCTGCGTTTCGATCTTCTGCTCACCCCCCACGGGCGAAAGGAGACACATGCACGTACCTCTGCTAGCCACTCCCAACTTCACTGAGACTTTGCTTCAACTCCCCAGTAGCCAGAGAGTATTGGGCACTGTCTGCTGCTGCTGCCCCTCCGGCACCCCGCTCCACATTCTTCGGAGACTTCAAGGCTCCTCTGGCCCTCTGATCTCTACTTGATGGGCTGGAACGCCAGTACTGGGAGGCCCCTACATTCAGATCGGCCTGCTTTCGATGGAATCGTTCAGGCCAGACTTTTTTTCTCGGTGTGTAGTCTTCAGAAAGAAAGTTTAGCCTTTTTCCAGCCAAATTCCCATGTGCGCACCCCTTAATTGAGCCGGGCTGGAAGTCAGGGTATAACCCTCGTGGCGCTGCTGTCAGCCGTAGCTCAGTTGTTGGCCTTTCTCTTGAAGCACAGGACGTCCTTCCTTGATATCATGGCCATAAAAAAACTACGAACCCTGTTGTAGTCAAAGAAACAGCTCTAAGAACACACATCTACTGGCTTTTCCCTCGCCATTCATTCCACGCAGGCCTTCCGTGGAGCTGCTGCAAGGTCCTGTACACGGCGGACCAGCAGCAACAACGACCATTGGAAAGGACGAATCTCGCAGCCCACTCTAGTCGTCACCACTAACAGAGCAAGGCTATGGTCGTGGAGGGAGGCTCTGTCTGCACTATGGCCATGTTGTTGTGGAACGCGAGAAGCGGCAAATGATCGAGCACAGAAAGCAAACCTTAACAAGCGACACGCCAGAAGAGGCTCACAGGACAAGGGTCAAGAAGCACACAGCGAGTCAGGAGAGAATACCTACGCGAAAGTGCACCTTGAGACAGCAGCCGAGTTTGCAGAGACACGAGAAGTGTTTAAGGCAGACAGCACGCTGGCGCCTATTTGCAGAAGGCGGATCCTAGGCACTCCTGACACAGACGGGCCGTCATCACCTCTTTCCATGAGTCAAGCGCTAGCATGAAAGAGAGACACGCTCTCAGGCAGCAGTATATGAAGCTGTTCTCTTTTGGGGCTTTTTCTAGGGGCAGTAGCTGACGGTCACACAGCGAAACCTTCGACGGTCCACAGCAACTGCTCTAGTGCGTACAAAAGCGGAGAGGAGACAACTACTACAGTGGCAGTGCAGAAGGGGCAGAGAAGCGGGATCGGTTGGCTTTTTCCCCGTAAAAACTGCCTCAGGATAGGTACACACATCGTGCAAGCGAGATCTTAGTGACCACTGGTTCCTGTTCCTTTGTAGAAACACGCATGCGAGAGGTGTTCTCAGCCCTGCACTAAAGGTCTCATTTTTCGGTGGCTACAGGAAGGATCTGAACCCTTAAGCATCACGCCTCAGAGCCTGTCCACGCACCCTATATATGAGTGGGCGAGATAGGCTACCGGTAAGTGACGCACTAGAAGAGCTTGTGCGCCTTTCCCTGCAGAGAACCCGCCGCTTTCTTGTCATGTTCAAAGAGAGGCTCTCGAGTGGGGGGGTTGTTGTTGGTGCAGCGACTGCTGCAAGGCTGCTGCTGCTCTTGGCTAGGGGCCCCGTGCCTTGTGAGGGGGCCCCGCGCCATCCTCTCCGCAGCAGCGGCTTTTTGTGCCTTCTTGCTGATGCAGCGACCCCAACAGATCGCAAATGCGATCCTGCGGAGTATTTCAGCGAAAAATATCGATATAGAATATTGGCGTAGGGATGCGAGCTGGAATTTTGTTACCGTAGGGAGGCGAGGAGCCGCTTCTCCCCGTGCTGATCGGCAGGCCCCTGCAGAGGGGCCCCACCAGACTTCCGTTTCGAGAAGCGCCTTCTCTGGGTGTTTTTGATTGTGGTTGAGCACTTGCACGGGAGTGGGTGGGCTAGAGAGTCGTTCCTTGGCTCGAGGCTCATTGCTTGCAGGGAGATCTGGGAGCATCGAAGACGCTGGCCCTCTGTTTGGGGGTGTGAGTGTGGCAGCAATGGCGCATTCGGGAGCAGTCTCCCCCAAGGGGGAAGAGGCGGAGAAACTCCCTCCAAAGGATGCTGCCCTCCCCAAGAAGACGCGGAAGGGGGCCCCTGGCGTGCCTCGCAGCTGCAAGGGCCCTCTTCCCGTGCGGCAGAGCAGCAGCTTCACGAGTATCGGCTGCGTGCCTCCGCCTCTAGTTGAAGCGCTCCGTCTCTTGAACTTCACCCACTGCACTCCTGTGCAGGAGGCAACGCTGCCGTTGCTGCTGCCGCCTCGCCAGCTGCCTGAGAGCAGAAAACAGAATCCAAAACAGCCCCAGTCTCAGGCTCTCGTTGCTGCCTCACGACGCTATGTGGACGTAGCCGTAGAGGCCCCTACAGGAAGCGGGAAGACGCTTGCTTTTCTCATCCCCGCCGTGTCAAGGCTGCTGCAGCAGCTGCAGCAACATGGACACCCCGAAGGCAGCAGCTCCCAAGCTTCCCCGCTGGAAGCTCTTACAGAGACTCCTGAGGAGGCAGCTGCAGCAGCTGCAGCCGCTGCAGCCGCTGCGGCAGCTGCGGCAGCCGCCGACAAGGAGGATCACATGACGGCCTTCCGGTGCAAAGTGGGGGCCCTAGTCGTGGGGCCCACGCGAGAATTGTGCTGCCAAACGCATGCAGTGCTGCAGCAGTTGCTGTCTTCCCTAGAACGTGTGCTGCGGGGGGAGCGCACGGAGGAATGCAGCGCTGTTGGTAGCAGCAGCGACGGCTTCCTGCTGCGAGGTCTCCGTCTGACGGGAGGCTCCAGAACGCTCGAGGGGGATAAAGCCTTAATAGGCAAGAAATGCAGCAAACGCGGTCTTTCTGTGCTGTGTGCAACGCCAGGCAGGTTGCTGAGCCTGCTCGAGCTGCCGATGCAGCACCAGGTGAGCAGAGCAGCCTCGACTGCAGCCGTTGCTTGTAGGGCTCTCTGCAGCAGCCTTCGCATGCGAATTTATTCAGAAGAGCGCACATGCGAGCAGCCTCAGGAGCGGCAGCTTAGCTTTCCACTCTTCTGCATGCGCGCTTTTGTGTCTGTGATGCGCGACTGTGTGGGGTGGCGTAGCCGTTGTGGGACTGGCGATGGCTGCAGCTGCTGGTCGTTGATGAGGCAGATCGGCTTCTCGATGAGCAGCACGCTCAACAGCTGCGGCAGCTGCATGCAGCAGCCGCCAGCGTGCGGCAGCAGCTGCTGCTGCCTGCGGAGCGTCGTGAGCAGCAGCGCATGCAAACGGCCTTTTTCTCTGCGACGCTCTCTGGAGCGATGCAGCAGCAGCTTATCAAGGGCCTTTTGAAAGATCCAGTGTGTGTGCATGTCACGGCAGGGCCTCCTGAGGCTGCGCCGGGGGGCCCCCTCAACGGAGAGGGCACTCTCAAGGGGGGCAGTGGGGATGCTGCTAGTGCTCCTGTGCAGCACGCGGTGCCTTCGACCCTCAGAAACTCTGTAGTCACTCTCGATTACGCCGAAAAACTGCCCTTCCTCTTCAAATTCATTCAGTGAGGCTCCCGCTGTGGCGCTTGTTTTGCTGCCGCCTTTTCTGCTGCCTTGAGCCTCGTCTGCCTTGCTGTCTGTGTTGTACATAGCGGTCGGGGGGAGTCGGGGGGGAAGCTGGCTACGCTTGCGGAATCCTCGACAGACAGTCTTTTCGGCTTCTCCACGTCGGCAGGCACCTGCGGTTGGTGGCGCTGCTGCTGTGTACTTGCGGGCGTCGGTACAGTTGTTGAGCTGACTGCTGACTGCTTGTCTTGAAAAGCGCTATGGGTGTGCTGCCGTTCTTGTTGCTGCAGGCACCTCGTGATTCCCCAGGGGAAGCGCTGCATAGTTTTCTGCCTGACCTGCCAGTGCGTGGAGTATTATTTCGCGCTGCTGCAAGAATGGCTGGAGAGAGCCGCTCTTGGAGGGCCCCCTGGCAAGGGGGCCCCCCATAAAACGGCATCGCGCTGCCTCGTAGAGAAATTGCATGGACGAATGAAGCAGCGAGCACGGACTGCAGCGCTCTCTAGATTTTGCAGCACGACCAGCAACTCGGGGGCTTTAGTACTGCTGGCGACAGACGTGGCGGCTCGAGGGCTAGACTTCCCCGATGTCTATTGGATTCTTCAGCTGGATGCCCCTCAGGCAAGTGTTTCTTGCTGCTGCTTGTATTGGTGGCGGCATCTCCGCGATGCTCTGCTTCTTCTTCGCCCTCAAGCACATGCGCCACAAGGCTGGTGTGCTCTGGCACTTGCGCGGCTTTGGGGGTGCGACTCCTTCCAAGGCTGCCCGCCAGTGTATACTGCTGCAGTGGCGATGCAACATCTGAGCGTGTATTGGTGGCAAAGCGCAACTCGTGCGTCTTTAAGCTGCCGATCGTGGTTCTGCGATATGCATGCGTTTCGTCGCAGAATCCCGAGATGTTCGTACACCGCATCGGCCGGACGGCGCGTGCGGGTCGACGGGGCGCAGCGCTGCTGCTGCTGCTGCCTCATGAAGATGCGTACGAGGCCTTTCTAGTCAACAGAGGAGTCAGCCTGTCTCCGTTTGGTAACACAGAGGAAGGGCAGCAGATGCAGCGCGTAGCCGCCGCAGTAGGAGACGCAGACACTCCAAATGCGTTCCTGGCCAAGAGCGAAACTTCTGAAGTGAACAAGACACTGCAGGAAGCTGTGCAAGAGGTACATATCCCTGCGCACATGCAATGCATGTGCGTGTGTCTGAACTGCGCTTTTATGCAATGGCCTCTGCATGCATGCAAGTATTGCGTGTGCAATCCACTCTTTTAAAAGTACCTTCTGAGGCCCCAAGACGCATGCATGGCCGCAGAGGGGCAGTGCTCTTATTTGCTACAACAATTGCGGCTCAGGGAGAAGTGATTGGACGCGATTGTCGCTTCTTCTTGCTTGGGCTGTATTAAGTTCGGCAAGCGTATGTGCATTCAAGCAAAGCTAGGCTGCAGCGCGTTGGTGCGTGCCTCTCAGGACCAAGCCCTAGTCAAGAAGGGCTCTCGCGCGTTTGTGTCGTTCATCCGCGCTTACAAGGAACACCAGCTGTCTTTCTTACTCCCTTTTGCGGTGGGTTGCTCTTGCTACACCAGAATCAGAGTGGGGAACCTCCATACGCGCACTTGATTCAGTGGCAGACACGCAGTCTTTGTGGCATTGCTTATAAAGGCAGTGCCATGTGGTGTACACATGGGGAGGCCTGGTTGAAACATCTGCTGCGCACCGCACACGACTCCCCTTCTTCAATTAGGGCTGATCGCATGTGCTCGACGAGAAGCTCGAAGGCTTAATGAAGGCAGCACGTGCTCCCTTCCTCTTTCTGCTCTGTGCGCTCTTTGTGCTGCAGCAGCTGAACCTTGGGCGTCTAGGAATGTCCATGCGGCTGCTGCGGCTGCCGCGCATGCGCGAGATTGTGGGGAAAAGCCTCAAAGATTTTGTGCAAAGCGACATAGACCCCGCGACGGTGCCCTTCAAACACGACGAGAGGAGGGAGCGAGAGAGGCAACAGCAGCTAGAGCAGCTTTTCGCAAAGCGAGAGCAACTGAAACACGCCAGAGAAAAAAAGAAACTTCAAGAACAAAAGGTGGTCAAGAAACTGGAAGCAGGCATGAAAAGGCAAAAGCGAACTACAAGCGACAAGCGGCAGGCGAAAAGGTGAGCAACCCGTCAAGTTAGAATCTCCCTGTGTAGATGAGTTCCTTTTGTTGCAGGAGATGTGAGCAGGCCCCGTGAATTTTTGTGGCTCAAAGTACACTTGGACGCCCCAACTCGTGTGCCTTCGCTTTGCATGCATCCTGTTGGGTGCAAGGTATTATGTGTGCTCCGTGCAAAGGCCCTCACTCCACGCATACAAACCGCATGCATGCACGTATTCTCTGTCATCACTCGTGCGTTGGATTACAGGCAAAATGCGTTGGACGAGTGGAACGAGCTAGCATTTGAGGGTGCGCCACGTTTCTTTTGGTTCCCGGAAATCTCCAAGGGTCATAAGGCGTTTTATCGCTTTCCGCATATGCTTTTTTGGCCCCCACTACTGCAACATGCATGCTGCTACGTGTTTCTGATTCTGCTGGTCTGTTATCTCAGAGCGAATGGCAAAGAAACTGCGCAGAGGCCGAATTACAGAGGAGACATACGATCGACTCATTGAAAGTGAGTGCCCAGCCTTACCGATTGCGCATGCTTCTGATATGCAGGCCCTACGGCGGGCAGTGTCAGTGTATGTATTTTGTTTGATACTGGTGCGCCTTCATCTCCATGCATGCGTTGCATTCACCCATTCATTGTACGTTCACAGAGGTTTTAGGCTGTGTCGAGTTTCGCGCACGCCTGCACGATAGGTGCATGCGTCCATTTCAGACGCAAGGAGTAAATGATGTGTAGAACCTTTCTCTAGTGCCGCTTTCTGGGGTGCCCATGTGAATGTTCATGGAGGGCGTCGTTATCCAGTTTGCTGGCAGTCCACTAGGCCCGTCTAAATGCACGAGGCGCACCCATCTTCGGCCTGCTGCGCGGTGTTTGTATGCGTGTGCAGAGGGCCTCCAAGAGGATGGTGCAGCAGAAGACATCAGCAGTCCTTCAGACTCCGACCTAGACAGTGGAGAGAGTGGAACGAAGGAGGCCTCGTCAGAGAGAGCTCCTAGCAAGGGCCTAACCAAGGGTTTGGGGGCCTCTGTAGGCAGCAAAAAGCCCACGTGGGCCCTAAAGCGGGGTCGCAAGAAGAAGAGACGCCGCTGAGCTGCAAAGCTGGCAGGCGCTAAGAGTCGCGCTGTTCAATGTGGCCTCGTTTCTGGAGTAGCTACAGCGAAAGAGCCAGGCCACTGACTTTGTGCGACTCACTTGTATCTTGCGTGTGCGAGTGCACGTTCACGCTGTGGCTCTTGCTCAGTTTGCATGCATGGGCGCTGTCGAGATGGGAATAGGTATACAGTGCAGTGGCGGTCATAAAAGCATGCATGCATGCAGCACAGTGTGCAGAGGCTCAGAAGAGCAAATAGAGGCAGGCAGGGTATAGCAGCAGTCCTAGCTATGAAGGCCCCTTGGGGTTCTAATACGTTCGAAGTACTCCTTTGGCGGTCAAGGATTTTTTAGTGCCGCTTGCTCCCCCTACCCACGGCCTAAGCCTCAGAAAAAGCGTCTCCTGCCTTTTGGGCAAAATGCGCAGTGCGAGACAAGATGATATCAAAAGGGGGGCCTCGGGGGGCCCTGGGGGCCCGCGTAAGAGAGCCAACGCACGGCCTGCCTCCCAGGGTAATATATAAACATATACATATATATATAAACATATATATATATATAAACATATACATATATATACAAACATATACATATATATATAAACATATATGTGTATATACACTTGAATACCCCACAAGCAGGCTGCTGAGGCCCTCGTCTGCAATTCAGATCATGCAATTGGGTGGGAGATTTGCATGATCTGACCATTCGCAAGGATTTGGGTTCCGAGAGGCCCCCGATGGCGCCTCTGCCCCCCCCCTTCACGCCAGACATCATCACGGGGATGAAGGTGGTGGAGGCGGCTAAGGCAGCATAGACTCCGCTGTGGAAAGCCCCTGCGTGGAAGTGCCCCTTGCATGCCACCACTTGCTGCAACGGTCAATGGCAACAAATATGGGTGCCTTTTTCTGTGCTCGTGCGTTGTGGCTGTGGATGTGGGGTCTTTCGTCCTCTCGCTGTCTGCACGCCGTGACAGGACGTTTCCTCAGGAGGAAGAAGAGGGCGGCAATGAGAATCACGTTTATCCCAGCCAAACCCACCGTTATGCTCAGCATGGATCGGAAATCTCCCGTCTCGAGACTCCTCTGCCTCATGGTTCCTGCGACGAGGGGCCCCAAGCCAGCGATAGTCCACGTGATACCGATGAGCGTCCCTAGATTGCGCGCAGAGAACACCACGTTGCAGTAACAGTACACCTGAGTGGCTAAGAAGCCCAGCCTGGCAGCCGACAGAACGGCAGAGGCCTCCTGCTGCGCAAGCGGAGCTGCGGGTAGAGGCAATAGCAAGGCATGCGCAGTCAAGGCTACCAAGTTGCACACAGCCATTGTGGGGACCACTCCAACTACGTCTGCTGCATACCCCCAGATAGGAGCAAAGACGCAGGGGAGGATGTGCGCAACTTGGCTCATGTCGTAGGCGTCTGGCAGTAAGTAAGAACCCGAGGGAAGATAGAAGGAAGCACTCAGGACGTTTGTGAAAGCCACAGGAACGAGGAACAAAAAGTGAGGGCTTCTCAGTTCAGATACAATATCAACAAGAAACGCATGCTGTGACCCCTGGTAGGATCCTGAAGCGGGAGGGGATCTACGACCACGCATCCCCAGAAGACTTTCCTCTGAAGCCAAAGGATCTCCTGCTGCCGCAGCAACGGCTGCTGCTGTGGCTTCTGTTTGCGCTCCCGCTGCCTCTAGGCCTAAGTCTCCATCCTTTTCCCCTGTATCCGCAGCTGTGCGCGCCAGTGCTGCGGCTACTGTCGCACACGTCGTTGCCTTTGCTGCCGTCGATTCCGAGAATCCTGCAGTCCTTGCGCGAGCATCTAGGGGCGCTTTTGTTGCTTCTTCTTCTCCTCCCGCTGCTGCTTCTGCTGCAGAGGACGACTCCGCAGCAGCAGCAGCAGCAGCAGCGGCAGCACCTCGGCACTCGAGTGCTGCTGCAGAGGCCTTAGGCTGCTGCGCTGTGCAAGTTTTCATTCGCACATGAAGAACTGGCAGCCTCATATGCCTGTGTTTCTCTTGTTGCAGCAGCATCTGCTGGTGTTGTTGTGGGTGCTGCTGCTGCTGCTTCTGTCCCATGGAGTGCGACTGCGTTTGCACGACTTCCTGGAGCCTTTCATCTTGCTGCTCGTGGAGATTCTCGATCAGCTGCTGCAGCTGTCTCGTTTTTCGCTGAGCCTCGAGGCTCACACGCGAACGCTCTTCCCCAGAATCCTCGGAGATCGGCAGCGCGCTTTTTTCCTCCTGCGCGAACTGCTGCTGCGTGGGCTCTTGCTGCTGCGCAGCCTGCACGCTTGTTGCCGCGGCTGTTTCTGCCATTTCCGTGAGCCTCTCCTCCATGCGCACCACAGCCTCCGTCGCCTTTTGTCGAGAAGCGCTCGAGAAGCAGGGGTTCACAACGACGCCTCCACTGAGGCCGTCTGCGAGCGCTGCCTGCGTGGAGAGGGGGGGCCCCCTGCGAGTTTTCCTGGCCTTTATCAGGGTGTAGAGAGGAATTCCGGGAGGGAGGCAGAGGAGTGCCACCACGACGCAGAGGAGACAGGGAATGACGCCAACAAAGATGGAGAGGGCAGAGAGAGACAGCCCAGCGCGACTGTTGAGCGCGCGAAGCGCCAGGGGAACAGAGAAGGCCCCTGATCGGCACGCTCCCAGTGTAGCTACAGCGAATCCAGACTTAGGCCCGCTGTGACGCGCTTCCGCAATCAGAGGAAAGAAAGCAGCGTCAATGGAGGCTCCCAAGAGGCCTAGACCAACGCCGTATCCATTGAATCGACTGCTGCTGCAGCACACCAGCAACCACCCCCCAATCATCAGGCTCCATCCAGTGACGGCGCACATGCGCGCGCCGACATGATCCAGGAGCAGTCCGCTGAAAACTGAGCAGCAGAAGGTTGTCATAGACACAACAGTGAACAGATTGGAGAGAGCCTCTTCCTGCGCCAGACAACGGCCTCGCACGAAGCCTTCACGAGATCCCCCGTCGTGAAGCCCTTCTCCCCCGACGCCGCCGATCGGTGTCTCCAGCGCTCCAGGAGAGGAGCACAGCCACGCATAAACACCCTCCTTGACCAAGAGGTCGTTGAAGGGCGTCCAGTTCAAATACCAGGGGCCAGTCAGGAAGGCGTAAGGCATCATGGAGATGATCCATCCCCAAAGTCGCAGACACGAGGTGTCTCCTTGCTGGCAGAGCGCTGATTGGGGAGACCGCCTTCCCACAGGGTGCAGGCTCTGTGAGACGAAGGCACAAAAACCGACACGTAAGGCTCACCAATCGACTCGCCTTAGGGTGAGCTGGCTGCTGTGCCGCGCACGCAGACCACTCGCATACACCCCAAAACATCATGAAAGTCTGTCCTCTCTCCTGCACCACCCCGAGACAGGCCCCTGGCCTTGCAACACATTCCGTAGGAGTTCGCTGAGGATGGATGCTGCCTGCTGACAAGGAGGCGCCTGCCTGCTACAGCGGGAAATTCGGCGTAAGTGCTCTTCGAGAGGGAGAGAGGGAGGGAGGGGGGGAACACTCACCGGGGGAGTCTGCTGGGGGAGGGGCAACGCGTCCCTTGAGGAGCAGGCTTTAACCGAAATAAGCTCTGGAGGCTGATCTTCTTCGCTCTCCTCCTCGACTCCCAGATGTTGTACCGGCAAAACACGAAATCCGATCGCGCCTCCTGTAGCTCCCTGATAGGGGATGCCAGCTGAATCCATTGAGGGAGGGGGATCGGGAGCGCCTGAGGCAACGCAAAGCGACTCACACATCGACGAGCCATGAGACTGGCAGGGATGTGGGAGGAAGGAGCGAAGCGGGCGGAGAAGCATCAAGCTGCGTCTGGCTGGGGAGTCTCGAGCAAGGGCTCTCAGGCGAGGCTGGCTTCTGACTGGGTGAACGAAGCGAGCGCAATGCAGACTCCAGGAGTGGGGAGAGAGGGCCGTGTAAAATGTCATGCATCGAGGAACGCGAGCGCGACAAGGGACATGAATGGGTTTCAAGTAGAGAATCGCAGGAAAAGCAAGCGATCAGCGCACTGAAGGTAGGTCGGTGAAGGGGGGCTTAAATGCTGGCAGAAAAAAAGAACCAGGAGGAGATTGGGGCAGTGCATCCGGAGAGAGTCTAACAAAGCACCAAGCTGATTGTGGGGTAAGAAAACAGCAAGAGCTTACCGGGCCCTAGTAGCGGTGCGCGAGAGGTAGGAGAGACGGAAGCGAGAGAGAAAGGCAGGGAAATCGACCTCCTTCGACGCTCAATCCGATAAAATACAAATGCCACTCGTTAAAGCGCCAAAAGTTGCCAGTATCGGGCATTCTTATCGAAGGAATTGAGACAGCAGTCGCTCAGGTGTGTCGACACCGGATCTACTACTGGGCAGTCAGTGGACGACATCCATGGGGCTGCTAAGCGGCTCTTTCTGCTTGCTACCGCTTCCACCTTCCTGCATTAGAGCTTTGAATCCAGGCGGCTCTTTGGTGCTGCAAATTGACGGGCAAAGACAGTGATACATGCAGGTGTGCCATACATAGGAATGAGGAAGAGCGCCGCACAGGGTCACCAAAATTTGATGCGCCTCTTCATGTCTACTGTCGAGTTTCACGTAGGGGACAACACTGTGGGTTGTTTGAATTCAAGATCAGCGGATTGCGGGCATGGGGACTTCTCCTCACGTCTTAGGCAGAGGCATGTTGTGTATAGGCGTTACGGGTAGAGGCACGACCTGAACAGAATACAACTTGAGCCGCTTGGAAGTAAAGAAAGGCGGAAAAGACCAAGGAATAAGCGATGGACACATTTTGCAATCTGTCTTTCCATATGCACGAGATCTCACGTCTGGCTGCGCCCTAGTGGTCATACCTCCCTGGTTCCCTTTCGGCTCTTGTCCTACTCCGTGTCTTCGGTTCTCACTCCCTATGGCTCGATGTTCTCCCTCGCTATCCTGAAGTCCTCATTTTTAGCTTGCTCAGCACGCTCCCTTAATTCTCCCTCTAGAAGTCGCGCTCCCCTATAAACGGGCACAACGCCACAGTAATTGACTTGCGATTTTGCTGAAGGACGCCTAGTTGACTGAAGATGCCTCACCGCAGCACAAAGAATGGTCATGTGGAATTTCAGTGTTTCAAAGGAAACGATTGGGAGATAGCAAAGCGGCAGTTGCATGCTGGCCCTTGTGGCCGCTTCGATTGTTCGTGTTGGGACGTCAGCCCTCATTCTCCGCGTGCTTTTGGCATGTCGAATAAGCAGAGTATGGAAGCAGAAAATAATAGAAGGCAAGCGATAGAGGAAAGGGCTACATGACAAAAGTAGGAAGAAACCAAAGGAACAGAGGAATGATTCCCTCTAGGAAGACATATATGATAGAGGTGGAGGAAGAAGGCACTAGTAGACTGGCCTAAGCAACAATCCGGGGGTTACAGCCGTGGCTTCCTAAGTGGGTAGTGCGTTTGATATTTTAGCTGACAACACAGAAGCCTTGCTACCCATTAAATGCTAGCTTCTGGCAACCAACATGAAGGATCTCTGCACAGAGGAACGCGTATTACAGCAACAAAAAACACAGCAGTTGACAACGCTAAAAGACCCCACCATGAGTACCTATCGGGGTGCTCGAGAAAGTATAGTGGACGTGCCAATGAAGGAATGCACAGTGTGGGTGTATACGACTCAAGTCTGCCTTTTTCTCCGTGTGACTGTGCCTCCCTCACTCACTGGGAAGAGGGAGGGCGCTGCCAAGGACGTTGGTGCCAGGAGATATTGGAGCAGCGTATTTGATTCTGTAAATTCTATCCGTACGGTCTTGGTAAAGATAAGCCTAGCCTCTGGACTCTCTACAGGCTTAGTGTATAGTGCTACAAAAAGTGTCTATTACACACAGTTTTGTCTCACCTCGCCTTGCCCTGATTTCACAAATGTCTTGCAAGAGCAAGAGAGGGATGCCTAAAATGTAGAGTTCTCCACTCTGAGCATTAATAGTGGCGGCCGTACATAGTTACATAGTGCAGCTTTGTTTAACGCTGTAGTGCATTGCTTCCATCCTACGAGTGATGGTGAAGAAGTAACTACCTGGTTTGGCTGTTTCGCATTTAATTATCCCTCAATAGAAGTATATAAGTAGGATAAGAATGAATGCTGGGCACCTGTGCGGCAGTAGCTATGTGCAACTAGCTGTGGCTGCTCAGAGCACGTAGTGGTTGCGGCAACGCTCATTGTAGCGCTCTGTCTTGGTGCCGGAACCTGAGATATGAGAGCAGGGAGTAGAACAAGCTTTTTAAAAGAGAGACACTGAATAGCCTTCTGTGAAGGTCTGTATTAGGCTTAGGGCCAAAAAATTCGTCTTTTTGTTTTTTGGACCCCCTAGATGCGTCTCCATGAGTCTACAGCGGAGAGCTAGCCCGCATCAGCCCCCCTCTAAATACCTCTCTTACAAGGTCAGAAAATTACTGGCGTCGATTTGGCACATAGGGAGCTAGTTTGGCCTTGCCGAGCCGTTAAAGGGGCCTCCCAGTAATTGCAGTACGTTAAAGCAATGCACGCCATATGGCGTAAATGTGATGTAACTCCCACACGTTGTTAGGGTTTGCCACCCTTCTTTATCAGCCCCTTCATGGTACTTCTCTGGGGAATTTTGCAGCGCTCTCGTGTCTTCCGCAGCGAGTCCGCTGGAGTTTCGTCAGGTACACCACACTAGAGCTGCCTCAGCATACCGGAAAGGTAGTGCTGCCTGGAGATCCCAGACATTGTACTTTAAATCTATAGGAAAAAATGCGCTTCCCTTTCAATAAAATGCCGTATCCTGTAGCTGTGCGAGCCAGCAGCCAACGACCGCAGCTGTACACTTGGGTGGACCGCCGCAGCCCTAAACATGGAGGTCTGTACATGCAGTCCCTAATATAAGCAAAATGCATCAAAGACATCGTGGAGAGCGAAGCAATCTGGGGTGTCACTGCACCTCTTCCTCTGTATGACGACAGCCGACACCTCGGCAGGCCCCCCCTTCCTGGGGGCTATGTGTTCCGTTCTTCGCCACCACCTTGTTCCTTTTTCCTGGCCACATTTCTTCAAACTCGATTGAGACTCTCCGGGGTGCCGAAGTTGCAAGGGTCCCCGAGGGTGTCCTTCTGACTGCCGGCTGTATGTACACCCTTGCTGCCCCCCTGCAGACTCCCACGGCCCCCGCTCCCTTCCAGCTGATCCAAGGGCTTCTACGGAATACCTGAGCGGAAGTGCGTCGTTTATGGCTCGTGCGGAAGTCAGGAATCTGCAAAAGCCTGTTCCGTCTGGCGTGCACTGGCTGCTGCTGCTGCTTGAAGAGGGGCCCCTCCGGAGCCTCCCCGCGCAAGCGGATCGCGGACTGGCCCCCAAGTTCGAGGGTCTCCATCGGCTCAGCATCATGCTCTGCTGCGTGGGGGCCCCCAGCGTCCAATGATTCGCTCGAGGGGCCTTCCGCCGGTCGTCCTGAGGTGCAGCCATGGGCCTCCCGAACACAAACTCGGGGGAGGGAGAGGGGCCCCCCAGCGGCTGCGGGGGCCCCACACCCCGTCTGAGCCTCCGCCCTTTTATCAGTCTGTCTCCACACAGCGAGATGGCGCACACGCCGAGATATGGACCACCACTCAGGTGTGGAATTCGCTCTCTTTTTTTTCCTCCGGGAGGCATTCCTACAGCACTTAGAGAATGAAGTTTGTGAACCCTGTGGGAAGCGGATCGCATGCAACCTTCATGCAGGGCTAGAAGCGCATCCAGCCTCGCGAAAGAAACCTCTTGTGATACCAGCTGGAGCGGAGGGAGAGGGGGAGGGGGGGCGTCTCGCACCCCGAAAGTTGAGGCAGGCCCCTAGGGGAGTTCTTATTGCGACAAGGGTCTCGAGCAACCCTCACCGCAGCGAGACTCATGCACGAGTGAAGCGGCCATTGATACTGCGCTTGTGACTCCTGCTGCAGCTTGGATAGTGGATCGGTTGCAATCGTGCTGAACAGGCTGCACTGCTACCCCGAGAGAGCCTCTGACCACTCGCAAGGCCTAGAGGGACCTTGTGATCTCGCTGCTGCCCATGACAGCAGCAGTGGAGCAGCCTCTGAAGCCTCCAGAAGCGTCAGCAGGGATGTGCTGCTGCAGCTTCTCGCGGACGAAGTGATGCCTCAGTTCATTGCGCACAGATCGGTGCAACAGCTCGTCTCTCTGCTGCAACAGCAGCGCACCCCAGAAGGCCTTTCGAAGGTAGAGCTCTTTCTTCTGTGCTCCTGGAACCGATTTGCTGGCAGCCAGCGAGCGGTTCTTCGAGGCCTCTAGAGGGAGAAACAAATCCGACTTCATGGCTATCCGTCTGTCTTCCGAAGGGAGGGAGGCAGGCAGGGAGGGAGGCAGGCAGGCAGGCAGGCAGGCAGGGAGGCAGGCCCCTTGCCCTTTCTCTTGCGAGGCAAGAGAAAGGGCATCCTCGCTGCTGCAGTTTGCGTCGTGTGTCTCCTCAGGCATTAGAAGAGGAGATCGCCAAGTGGGAGCGACTAGCGGGGCCCCCCCTTTCGCAGTCCATGGGGGATTACTCCTCAGGAGGAAGGGGGCCCCTGGGGTCGGGCAAGGCCTGGAAGGAGTCTCCAGTCTCGCCGGAGAAAGGGGCCTCAAAGGGCCTCCCCCCGGCAGGGGCCTCCTGTGAGGCCCCTTTCTCCGTCGAGACCACTTCCCCCCAGAGAACTCCGAGAAGCCAGACAAGAGCCGCTGTCTCGCAAGCGGGAGCCTCAGATCAAGCGACTCCAACAGAGCTTTCGGAGGGTCGAGACGTCTTCTGTACCCCTCTGGGCGTGTCTCCCCGAAACACTCCTGAAGGGGCTCTTGAGGCCTCTTCGCATTCAAGAAATGAGCCTTTTGAATCCCCCCCCTCGCTCCCAAAAAGGACTGGCTCGCCCAAGAGAATTGGGGGGCCCCCACAGGCTGCTGCCGACTCTGGCCGCGCTGAAGGGAAGCGCGCGCATGAGGGGCCCACCGAGGCTCCAGAGGTCGCTGGCAAGCACGTCCTCGCAGTCGTCAGAAAAGCTCGGTGAGCCTCAGAGGCTGCGTTTGCCTCAACTAGCTGCCGCTGGCGACCTGCGAATGTTGAACGCTTAGCCCTTGCGGCTGGTCAGGGGTGTCTGCAAGTGCGGAGTCGAATGGCGCTCTGCGAGAGCTGCTGCGGGGTGGAGATGCTACGCAGACAGCAGCGCAGCCTGAAGGCTCCCTTGTCAATTGAAGGGGAGACAGCTGCCGCGATTGCAGCAGTCTTCGAGGACGTAGAGGGGGGAGGCCTCTCTCTGGAAGTCTTCAGGGAGAGAGTTGTGGAACCGCTTCTTGGGCTGGGGCCCTTTTTGGCTGGTCGGTGTTTCCCAGAGCGTTTTGCGCGAAGCGTCTCTGTGCTGTCTCCTGAGGGCTTGCCGCGGAAGGTTTCTTGAGACAGGGGGGGAAGAGTTTCTCGGATCTCAGACGCAAGCTCTAAAGCCTTCTGCTTCCAACGCACGCGCTGCCTCTCTCCATCTCCCGCAGCTGTCACCAAGGAGGCGGTGCTCTGCTCTTTGTGCGCTGCTTCCCCTGCTCAGGTCCCCTCTTCAGGAGAATCGACTCTGAGGGGATAGGGCTTGTGACAGCGGAGCAGCTGCGGGAGTGAGGCTTTCTCCTTGCGCTTTCCGTGTTGTCTGCCCCCCTAGATGCAAGGAGGGGCCTCAGAAAAAGGCTTAAAGTCTCCTGATCGTCTGTGTTTATTTTTCGCGATCTTCGCGTCTGCGATGACCACTCCTTCCCTCCCGCGTCTCCCTCTCGCGTCTCCCTGCCTGGGAGCACCAGTGCGATTGCGTGTTGAGTCTCTCTGCGCACAGATTCTGGCGTGGGCGGTTCGTTTTGCGGTCAAAAGATCCCTCCTTGCAGTGCGATTTCCCCCTCTCTCCCCTCCCCACCTACTGTTCTCCCGAGAGTCATGGACTGCCGGAGAGCTCCCACGGGGCAGGTGCTCCTGCGCTTAGAAGGGGCAGTCTGATCAACTTCATGGGAGCTCTTGCGATCAAGGGGCCCTTTATATACCCCGAAGACTTACGACCCTGGATCGTCGGTAGGCGGCAGAGCTGGTTGCACCGAGTGCCGGCTTCGAATGCGCTCTTCCCGGAGGTTAGGGAGGGCTAACGTGGGCGCTATTCCTCTCACCGCTTGGTGTGCTCCGGTGTGTGAGACGCAGAGGTGGCTGAGTGCGCTCCAGACATGGCATTCCTTCTGGATCCGCAGTCCGAAGAGTACCTTCACAAATACGGTGAGCGCGCAGACTCTTCCAGAAGCACAAATGCTCAGACGACGTAGCCGACTTGGGGTGTCGAAAGAGACGGTTGATTTTTGTCCAAGGCTTGTTGTCTCCGCTCTCCCAGTTGACTCCGTGATTGCTCGGATCATGTTCTACGTCGACGAAGACTCCAAGGGGTGCTTGTCAATGCGCGTAAGCGGGCTGCTTGGAGGGCCTCTTCGGCAACCAGCGGATCTCGAATCAATACATGCCCGAGCTGTGCATTTTCTGCGAGAAATGGTGCCTGGTGTCTTGCAAGTTGTACTTTGGGGCCCCTCTCTGTGGCTGCTTGTGCGCACTTCAGGATCTAAGGCGCAGCGCACTGGTCCACGTTTGGTGTAGCTTGAACCCTTCGATGGAGCTTAGCGCCGTCAGGAAGTTCTTCAGGTCGGGTGTACCCCTCTACGACTAAAGGAAGTAATCGCGCCTTAAAAACATCCTGCTGTCATCGCTTCTAATAATTCCCTCTCGGCCTTTTCGTGCTGCTCCACTGTCTAGCTGTGCCTCTACCCATGCCCGTCTGCGTGTTCGTTTTTCTTTCCTTGCAAAGCCTCTCTGTATGGGGATTCTGGCTTCACTTATCTCTACATGTATATGTGTATGTATGAATATGTGGTCATGTTTGCATGTGTATATATGTGCATGTGTATATATGTGTATGTGTATATGTTCAGGTGTATATGTGTATATATGTGTATATGTATATGGGTACGTGTGTATATATATATATGTATATTTGTAGATACATATATATATTTCTGTGTGTCTGTGTATATGTGTGTTTGTGCCAGTGTACTTGCACTTGTTTGCATGTATGTGCTTACAGCTATGACCATTTTTATGTCTTTTATTGCTCTTTTCACGAATTGGATGAAGACGAAGACTTCCTTCTCCACCGCAGCGACGTCAGCAAGTAAGGCTTGTATATACCATGGCTCAGTGATAAACTCACTAGGCCTACAAGGTTTCTGTTCACTAGGGAAGATTCCTATTTGTTAGAGACTCCATAGGGAGGAAATCAGAGGGAGAGAGGCAGAGACTGCGGCTCCGGTTTCGCGTCTAACACACACACACAAATCACATCCGTATGTATATATATATGCATTTTTTGTCTCTTGCTACTGCGTGCTCCCCTCATCATATTTCATTTTGCTTTACACTCTACATTCCTCGTACGCTGCTCTTGCTTCTTCTGCCGCATGTGTCTGCAAAAGCGGAGAAGGCTACGGCTGTGCCTCCTGGGTGTGCAAACAGATACCAGGACCATAGCATGAGCACTCTGGTTGAAGCTCGACTTTTCTCTCAAGCAGCGCACCGCTTTTCTTGCGAAAAGTCTCAGCATTGGAACTTTCAGGATTGGATTTGTGAGGGCGACACACACACACACATACAGACACACTCATACACACACATATACATACACACACACATATACATATACATACACGCATACACATGTGGGGGCACAGATTCGTCGCCTACATGCATCGCACTTACATGCATGCATGCGTGGGGGAAAGCGGCAGCGGCAGCGGCAGCGGCGGCAGCTTTGCACACATACAGCCGAGCTTGTGCATTCATATGCGGGATGTGGGAGTATGCTACTACTATTCGAAGGAATATTGATGGTCTCACAAGAGTGGGATTTTGTACGATCTTTCGCTGCGGAGGCACCAGCAGCTTTCAGCTGCACGTGGGGTTAAGGCAGTCTTGCTGGCCATGAACGAGCAGCTTTTGCTTTAGGAGACGTGGGTGCTTTCCAAGAATGATTGACTGGGGTAGCAGTCCCCTCACGTACTTACTCTTGTGAGATTCTCACATGCATGCGCGCCATATTTTCTTTTAGGGTTCGTATTGGCGTACCACGAAGTGACCCTCCCCAAAGCTCTTCGCTTCTGGTTTGATGTCTTCGACTTGGATGGAGATGGATTTTTAAGGTAGGTCGAGATGTTACTGGGGTGCTGCTGGCATTAAACTCACGTGTGTGCACGGAAGATTTTTCAGTTTCGAGGCACCTCACTGATTGTTCAAGCAGGCTGCAATATGGACCTTGTTGGGTTGCTCGTAAGTGCCTCTTGTTGCTTCGGAGGACTTCATGTATTATAAATGTGTGTATCTGTGTATATACAATAAATGTATGTATGTATGTGTATGTGCATATAATATTTAAAGACATGTGTACATCGTTATCTGCGTGCGCAAGGGACCACGAGCTGGAAGCGGCTTACGAGTCTCAAGCTGAGCGACTGCGTATGCGGGAGGGCAAGGCGCAGAGTTATAAGGAGTTCATTTGTCAGGTGTACGTTCACATGCCCTTAAGTTCCCCCTTTTGTGCGCCTTTTTCTGGACATGCTTGTCGGTTTTTGCATTGTTTTTGTACTGCGCGTGTTTTCGAGCGAGGCTGGGAAAGTGCTGGCAGAGGAGGTAGAGTCCGTGCATTGTGCTCATTATTTTTTAAAGGCCTGTATGGGGTTCTACCTCCCCAGTGCACCCTCTGTAGAACTTCTTGTTGCACGTTTCTTACACGGAGGCGTGAAAGTGCTGCCTCCATGGGGATGCAGGTGCAAACGTCAGTGGGTAGCCGACGGCTTCGCGCGTTCAGCCCTTTGAAATCTCGCAGCGTTCAGCATGCATGATGCGTGAAAAGATGGCTGAGAGGGGCAGCCATGTTGAATTCTATCTTTTGGGGGGCTCTTGCGATGACGGCTGCCCATTTATTTGAATGATAGCAGCACCAACCGGCGCAGCCTCCGCAGTTCCTTGGGAATATTGAGTCCGATGTTTGCGGGGAAAATTCGTTCTTTCGCATGCAGCCGTCCGTCGCTTTCTTCCACAAGAAGCCTCTATGCGTGTCTTTCTATCTACAGGAGCGATGCCTTGGGCCTGGCTCCTTCTTCTTCCGGCATAAGCTGCCAGGAGTTTTTGCGTTCCCCTGCGGCTGCCGGATTTTTGGTAAACTGTCTCCTCAAGGCGCAAGTACTTCGAGCTTTCGATGAGGGCGAAGCTGTCATCAACACTGTTCATGGAAATCCAATTGAACGCGCCGTCCTCTTGAACTTCACGTGCGTTGGCGGCTCCTGACACGGTTGCAACTTCCTGCACTGGCAGCCCCTTTTTCCGGAGAAAAGCTGTGGAGCTCGCCTGTACGATTATTGTACGCGGCGATGCCTCGCCCGCTTGCACTTCTTCTGCGTGCTCCTCATCAGGCCCTTTGAGATATTCGCGCATGCAGAGTATGCTGCCTTCACTGCCCAGCGCTTCGAGGAGAGTCTCGAATTGGGAGATGGCCGGGTACGTGTGTGTATGCGAGCTTGCCATCGGCGTTTTTTTAACAGACGAGACCGCAAAAGTCGCTCGCAGTGTAGCATAAGAGCTGAAAAGATGGTGGAGCAGCCGTTTCCACATGCACGGAAAAAAAAGCATCTATGTGCCTGCTGCATGGATGATGACATGAATGGTAGAGCAAGACCAGGCGAGAGCGCAGTTCAAGTCTTTCTGCGCGTGCGCATTCCTTCAGTCTCCCTCAGCAAGTGCTGATGTGCATGTGCGCTGCCGTGTCGCCTTTCTCCTCTTTCTGATGCCATGGGTTCTCCAGCTTTCTCGTTCTTTGTTATTCAGGAGGAGGGAATGCTGGAAGATCTTCAAGATTCAACTGAAGCCATTGAATGAAACGAGGGCACTGTGCGCAAAGGGTGTGTTGTGGCCTTCATGGAAAGTGCAATCCAGAGTCTATCCGTCCAGGCGCGCGTGCATGCATAGGCGGGCACATGCGCATGCAAGGCCGATGGAAAACAGCATAGATACGTACAACTACGCGCCAAAATACATGTATTCATGTATATTGGTACGTCGGTATCATGCCGTAAGAAGTGAGGTTTGGCTGCAGACAAGTGCCCTTCTGCATATGCCTCTGCCCAGAGGCATATGCTACCAGAGCGGCTTGCGGTATATCGATGGATCGAGGCACATCCTCCCTGTTCTTCCAGCATGTTCTCCTAGGCCTCTCCTCTCTTCTTGGCTCTTCCTAGCTTTCTCTTGTGCATTAAGGCCCCAAGGAATGCGGCGCATGCGACGGGGAAGCTAGCAGCGCAGGCGTGCGCTACCCCCAAAGCTACTATGAACGCCAGTGGCAGCAGCGTGTCTTTGCTTCTGGCTTCTTAGCGACCCCAAGTAAACAAAATTTTATACGGGGTGGACATGCATATAGAGTAGGCCCGTAGGCAGAGCGCTGTAGAGGTGAACATGGTGCCACGGCTAAATGCGGATGACATCCTATGCAGCTGCATGCAAAGAAAGGTAGATGTCACTGAAAATGATGCACGTCAATCTACGGAGAGGCAGTGTAATAGCAGAGTGGGTCGTGCCCTATAGACTAAACTGTATCTCGTCTCGGCGAGCCTAGCTGCCTGCACATGGCTGCATGCGCGCGTGCATGCAGCTATGATTAATGCAGACACATATTTTGGGGGCATATATATATATATAGGGTCCCCTAGATGTCCCGCACAAATAAATTAACAAGAAACACTGCCTGTTGCCTGTTCGGAGAGGCGAAGCCCATGCGCTGGGTGGGGAAGAATATGATACTAGCGGAAGAATGCTTGCTGCTATCCACCCAGGCTCGCAAATCTGTACGCGCTTCGACCTGGGGAATATAAAGCCAATAAGGAGTTATAAAAGAATCCATAGCGTGCACGCCGCAGGCTGCATGCCATGAAATGCATATGGTTGCTAGGGCCGCCCACAGTGCACACACACAATGCATGCACACACACACACAATGCATGCACACACCCACAATGCATGCACGCACACACCCCTCCCCCCTTTTAGTGTGAAGCCGAGAGAGCAGGGCCATGTGCGATGACACACAGAAGGCGGCACAGAGAAACAAACGAAGACATCGGAAGCGCGAGCAAGCAAGCAAGCAAGGATACGCGACTAGCGTGCAGCGAAAGCCTCAAGGTCGTCCTGCTCCCACCAAGAGGAGCCGCTGTCAGGATCTCTTAAAGATGCAACATCCGATACTTGCGCATATCCTTCATTGTGGCCAGTAGGACGCCTCTCGGGGAGTTTTTCCCCCCCGCGTGGTTGGTCCCCTCCTAGGGTTGTGTCGGAGACAGTCACTCGGCTGCTGCTGGCGGGGATATCTGTGCGTCTCTTCGCGCACAGACGGAAGCAAAAGAACATAAGAATGACGCAAAGAAGAAGCATTGCCAAGACGCCCAAAAAGGTCCTGTACCACGGCATAGGCGCCACGTGCGCGCTGACCATCTCCGCATCCGCTGCTCTAGGAGGCACTGTTGCTGGCTTGCCCCCCCCACTGCTGCTGTTGCTCTTGCTGGAATCCGCTTGTGGAGGAGCGCCTTGCAGCCTCGCAAGGTCCCCGCCCTCCAAAAGGCCCTTCTTCTCGTCGTCATTCGCCAAGTCTCCAACTTCTGAATGCTGTGCTGGCAACGCGGTAGGCATCGCTGCTGCTGTCGGTGCAGGCAGTGCCTCGGCGAGCTCCTTCGGGGACAGAGTGCCCTCTTTCGCGGAGACAGGCTCATCCGTGAAAGCAACCTCTGGAGATTCAGAAGCGCGCAGCAACGCAGCGGAAGGCGACGCGGAATACTCCTGCGGCAGCGTCAAGAGAAAGCGGAGTCTGGCCTGCTCGTAGGCTATTTGCCTGTCTGTGAAAATACACACATGTATACACACACACACACATACACTCTCATACCGCATGCCTCGTGAGGGCGTTTCAAAGAGGGGCCATATCAAGTTGCAAAAGGGCTTAAAATCATTCAATGCATGCAAGACCACCACGTGAACTTCCGACGGACCGCAGCGAGCACATCCAGGCTAAACCCACCCCTCACCTCGAACGCCTTTCGGCATTTCCCTCCCCCGCCCTTCCCAACAAGCCAACGGAATTCTCTCTTTCCCTGTATGTGCCACGCCTTCCTCTGCCTGCAGGGCAGGGGGATCCTTAAGTCCTTACCCAGCAGCCGGCTCTTGAGAGTGAGAGCCAACTCCTCGCCTCGACTCCACGGCATGCGCGCCTCGACTGTGTATTCGTACGCTGGAAAGGCCTTATACCTTTTACCCGCAACTGCGTTGAAGGCTACTGGATAAAGCCCCAGCTTCCAGCTGTAAATCAGGAGCTGCACCGACTCGCAAGGCACAACACGCCGTACGGCGGTCACCTCGGAGACGCTTGACGCCGCAGCGAGAAGGCGATCGAGGAGGGACAGATCTGAAACGAAACGCAATCGCAGTCCAGTGCCAGCAGACAGACGATACATATACACATACAGATACACATATACATATATACACAGTAAATATATATATATATATATACATACAGAACGCCACACAGGGGAGGACGAACGATGCTAGATTTTTTTCCAGAAATCACTCCACGCGCTCTCTGGTTGTCGGTATTTGTCTGCGTGTCTGTCTGCCGACGTGCTACCCTAAGCCAGCTGCGCTTTTCTCCTTCTTTCTCATCCTAGCATATGCCTGCTTGCATTTGAAAGCCTGAGAGGTGTGCAAGGCTTCTCCTCTCTATTATATGGGAGCTGGGGTCGACAAAGGAGGCCCTCCCCCCCCTGTCTCCTCTTCTCCAACCCCCTAAGACTCCCCGCCCCTCTCAGTCTCCCTCCTGTTGTGACTCTTCTCTAGCCACTCCTGTGCAGGCAGATGCACCCAGTGCAAAGCGGCCTCTCGCGCGGAAGGCGTCGCTTCTCTATCAACGACCTGGCTCGCAGCACAGAGCACCTCTGCTGCTGCGCAGGCGCAAGCCAGCCTAGCACCTTGTCCTCCCTCCGCACGCCCACCAGCAGACACGACAACACCTGCGGCGAGGACGTACAGAAAAAACCATCTTCGTCGTTTCCCTTGATAAGAATGGCGATGTCTTCAAGAACGCCTCCCTTCCTAGGGGCCCCCCTTGCCCAAATAGCCCCCACAACCTCCTTGTCTGGTTGCAAGGCTGCGCGCAGCAGAAGTAATAATGAGGCGACAAGCTGTCGAGACACGAGACGTGAAAAACGACCACTATTTAGGCCTTTAGCCCTAGAAGCATCTGAACACCAAACACTGACTGGCTAGCTGCTAGGCACGCAGCGGAGCGAGCAGTGCAGCAGACAGGGGAACTGCAAAGGAGGAAGGCGAAAAGGTCTGCGTTCTAAGAAGCTGCTCACAACGAGACTGACTGCCCCCGCAGTGTACCTATGAATGAGAGCTGTGGAAGTGGAGAGTCCGTAATCTCCTTTAGAATTTGGCTGGGAAACCACTCATTGGGTGCCACTTGACTCAAAAAACGCTCTACTGCCGCAGTAGTCTCGACTTCTCCCGTGGAGAAGCTAACAATGACAGGAGACTCGAACGCCTTAGCCGCTGTACGCACAGACAGCCAAGCAGCAGAGGCAAGTAAAGATGACGCACATATAAATATATACATATATGTATGTGGAAAGACACTCACACATACACATACACACAGACACACACATGCATACACACACACAAACACACACACATACACACACACAAATACATACACATACACACACACATACACACACATACACATATATACACATGCATGCGCAAAGCAAAGAAGATTGGGGAAAAGGACGCTCAGTTACGGGTTGCCCACGTCGCGGCACGTGGAAAATGACAAGCCGCAACATGCCCAAGAGACACGCGTCTTGAAAGCAAGGTCGAGAGTGATCACTCAGCTTCGTATTGCAAATGCATGCATACACAGCAACTACTACGAAAGTACAACGCGCCAAGGAGGGCCCCAAAGGTAGCCGAAAGATCCGTGGAATGCGTAAATCAAGTACTGCCACTCGTATTCCCTTAATAAACAGGTTGCTTGCATACAGACAGCAGGGTTTAGGAAGACATGCTTCTATGTATGTATGTGCATATATGTGTATTCAGGATATAGGTGAATGTGTTCAATGCAAGCATGCGCATAGGTAGGCATGTGCATCTATGTGTATTCAGCACATCATGTGGATGTGGATGTGTGTACCAGCTGAGCCGTGAATATTGCGAGTGCTTCCTGCTTCTACGAGAGACATCTGTAAAGACTTCAGCTCAGACCCTGAGGCAAAAATCAAAGCAAATAGGCACCAAAGCGCCGAGGTTTTGCACCTTGAATACCGTGGAAGACTCCGTAGAGGCTTCTGTACAGGTTTGGACCGCGTCCTCTCCGAGTTTTTGATATCGCCCTCTGGTGTACGCTGACCTTTCCGCTCAATCGTTTTGGCATAGGCCTCCTCAGGAGTTTGGTATGGCAGAGGCATGCGCATTTCATAGCCTGCTGAGACTGCCTGAGTGTTGTAGTACGCTGGAATGTACCGTGTAGGTCCAAAGCCCATGGACATGTACAGGTGGAGAGGTGCCAATTGCGAAATCCACACATGCAGCATCGTGTCAGAGAGAAGCGGTCCGCGCTGGTCGGAAGTGAGAGAAAGACGCGTCGCTTTCTCCAGAACGGCCTTCATCATTCTCCGAGCTGTATGACAACATAGAACGAGGTGGGGCAGGAAAATATCTTCTCAGAGGCGCGCTCATGGATGAAGAAAGCACCACCAAGGAAGACAAGATGCACCCTGATGAGTGCATCAGAGACTGCACTGTATGTACACAACAGATGCAGGGTGCCCCAGGGCTGCTGCTGGTTCCTGAATCGTGATCGGTGATCTGGGAAGGCTCACCAAGGCCCATTCTTCTAAAATTCTCATGCACAGCGACCATCAGGATATTTGCAGATTTAGCACTCATTTCTGCAGCAGCTACCACCCCAATAATTCCTCCTGGGCGAGGGGTATCTTCCTCCTCATCCGCTTCAGTGTCGGCCTCGTCACTGCTTGTGCTACCCAAGTACTTCGCAACAACGCACATGTCGAAAAAGTGAGGCGACATCGAAAAGGAGCGCATCGTGTACGATTGATACTTCACCGGATATTCAGGAGTGTGCAGAAGGAGTTGCCGTATCTCTTCCAGATCGTCGGCCGTACAATCGACAACAACAGGGGGCTTGGCAGCCCTCCAGATCTGCTTTGTCAGGGCCTTTCCTCCTTCTACTTTTGCTGGTGCTTCTGACACGGATGCTACTGGTTCGGCAACGTCGCTGTCTGATGATGACTTCAGTGCGCGTTGAAAGGCGTTAAGCCCGAGGGGAAACTGGGCGATGCCTCCCTCAGCAGCAGAGAACGAAGACGGTTCAAGGCATGCCGCAGGAGGAACTGCGGCAGATAAAAGCACTGCGGAGACCACCACCAGAGGCCGAAGAAGCCGTCTTAAGGATCTCCATAGGCTCCGGAAGCTTTCGGGGGTTGTCGCTGGGGAGCAGTCATTCTCGCGGATACACCTCTGCCAGGAGGCACGGAGAGGGGGGGCCCCTGGGCCCCCCTGAGGACGATTCATTTACTCAACTTCTACAAGAGAGCCTCTTTTTCAGAGAAACAGAGAGGCTACATGTGGTTTCAAGCGACAAAAGCGACAAGCAACAGAGAGCCTGGACCACGGAGGAACGAAGGGGCGCACCAAGAGGGAATCAGAAGCGGTAGAGAGGATCTTCTTGGCCCCAACGCCGCAAAAACTAATTAAAATCACCCTCCACTTTTAGTCTAGGCTGTTTCAGCACCCCACAATGCACAGCTGGCATTGCCGGACTCGGCAGGGCAAGTGAGGCAGGTGGCGCATGCACCAGCTGGCAGTAGGGTCTCCATCCTTGTCCTTTTTCGATTTTAGATCACCAACGCGCAAAAATGGTACTCTGAGATTTAATACTGCATTCCCGAAACCAGGGACTTTTGAATACCATGGACAGGAGGGGTTATGCTCATGAGACCTCTGTATTACGCGTCATGATTTGCACTCGCCGAACGTCAGTCGCTTCGGGGAGTGCGCAAATGCTTTTTTGAAGTCCCAAAGGCCATAAGAGTCACAGGGAATACACTTTATTCATGAGCTCGCATCCGGCTGCTCGAGCTCCAGAGGATTGGCACCGATCGTCAGGTCGGTGTAGTAACCTGGGTTGTCGATTGGAAAAAATATACATGAACGGCAGCGTCTCGTTGTGTTCTGGGCTTCATAGCCCCAAGGCGCCTAGAGGCGCGTACTTAGGCTTCTGAAAGTACGAATACAGCTTTACCATTTGCGTAGTGTCCAAAGGCAAAAGGCGATTCCACTTCGTACGCCTGCTCTGTAGAAGGCTACTTTAAACTTCGCCCTTTCTACTGCACTACTTATATTCTTTTAAGCATTAGGAAATAATTAATTGCAAAAAAATCTGGCTGTTCTTATACGGCACTTTGGGCGGATCAGACGACCAAGGTCAATGATGAGGACCTGTGCGCCGACTATTGCTAGTATCTGCAACTAGCTTGAACACCCAACGAGGCTCTACGCTGCAACAACACCGGTGTACCCTCGGTGTCCCTCTATCTCCCGCCATTCCCGACCGTTGAGCTGTGAGATTTTAGAGACACCCGAATGAGCCTCCGTAATAAAGGCCACTCCAGAAATTACTATTAACCTGTTGCATTGGGTTCGGGGCTAATGTCTCTCTCTATGGAGACCCTGAGTGAAGCATTACAGCCTTTGGGTAGGAGCGATGTATTTAAGGCAAGGCCTCCGCACTTGGATTCAAGCAACCTCGAAATCATACCAATAGCCGTAAAAAGTCTCCTGTCTGCGCTCTCGAACGGTCTTCGAACTTACATGCTGCCATACAGCCCAGAAGCTCACATCACACCTTTCCAGTGCAGCGACAAACCATGCTCGTGTGTAGCACACAATGCACACAAAATAAAGCAGCGCATCCCCTAACTATAGTGAAACGATTCTTACGCCAGCCCCATCTACAGTGCAGTCAAGCCCATTACACTGCCTCAAACAGGGACTCTGCAACCTGCATCCTGCCAAGGCAAGCCTAGGTAGTAGTAGACGACCCAACGAGCTTGTCTAATGTATGTTCATAAGGCTTGGTGCAGTCGAGCCATGCACTAGAGTGCACACCTGCCTGTTCTTGCAGGTGGTAGCTGCGTGTCTTTACATACAAAGCTCCGTGCGTGCAAAAAGCGTCTTTCGTGCCCTGGGTACAAAGAGCATGAGAACGCGCGATGGGGTGAATGCTCGGGTCACATCCCGATACAGATGACAGAAGCCTCCTTCGGCAATGTTATCTAGTAACTGGCATCCTTCCCATAACTTCCAAGCAGAGACTGCCATTCCCGCATGGGGCAGGGCTTATTCAGGTACAGTATACATCTACTCAAACAGCCTGTAATTCACCAATGTACAGTACTCATTGTTCGCTACAGTATCACCTTGGCTAGTACTGGTCGCAAACTTATGTCAAGAGGACGCTACAAGCTCTCTCCTACAGGAGCTGGAGGCAGCTCTCATCGCGGATATGCATGGTAAATTTCTCTGAGAAGAACTGATAGGTGCTGAACGTGCAATTATTCTACAGTAAACATAAATTCTGGCAATCGGGCAAAAAAAGCTGGGCACAAGGCAACCTGCTAGACGGACTGAGGCTGGTGGAATTTAAGGATCAATTCTTTTATGAACGAGGCAGTCAGACAGACATCAGCCTTACAAGCAAAGAAGCATGTGCCGAGATGTGAACTATCAGCTAAAAGGCAGGTGGCTGCTTATCTATGATTTTTTGCGGATGCATATGCTGTTTCTGCTCAAGCTAGTGAAGTGTGCCTGTGTGTGTGAGCATGACTATGGGGACCTGTGGTTAACGATTTAGTGAAGGAAGCCCCATAGTTAGTATTAAAATTTATTTCTTGCGTAAAACAAAAACGACGACAGTTTGGCAATATAGCATGGTTCTTCTGAGATGGAAGTAGAGAGAGGAAGACGGCCTGTACACGGGAAAACTAGGCGGAAACAAAAGGCGGGGGAGACAAGCATGGCAATAAATCGGCTTCTGGAAAGCAACACAAGGCAAAGAAATCAAAAGAGTAGGGAAGTAACAACGCATGTTTTGCGCTGCTCTTCACACAGAAGAATCCATTTAATCCTTGTGACGGTTTAGCTTAAGCGTCCGTGGAAAACCCTCGACTACAAACTCATTGTGAACTTGATAAAGCACTATTTCTTATTCCCATGCAAGCGCCCCTCATAATTCTCGACATAAACAGAGAGGGACAGCTACGGTTGAGCGCGAATGCACCCACGAAGCCCTTCCACAATTCACAGCCCGATGCCCAAAGCATCTAGTACACACGCACAGAACAAAGTATTTTCTTGCGTTGAGCTAACAGTCCTCCGCAATAAACCAGAGAAACAGACAGATAGGTTAATTACTTAATGCTTTAGTAATTGTTTCTTCAAAATAGGTGGACTATTACAAGGTGTAAGTGCAGCTTTCGCACGCTACAGTCCCTTCCCGCGTACTTGTGATTGGAGAGAAAGCCTTTATCCGGGGCACTTAAAAACGCACAAAAAACACAATTAATCGTTTTGACTAAAGAGTCAAGACTTGGGAAGTGTCAGTCGCGCAATTCTTTTAAAAGAAAGGGACGAATCTAGACAGAGCACACAGGAAAAGGTATTCGATGTTTACTCATGCAAAAGTAGTACTTTTGACTGAGCAGGTACAGTAAATCGAAGACTACGGATGGAAATACACAAACGGTAAAGTATTGTTTCAATCTTCACAGAACCGCACACTCTTTGAAAGCAGAGGTGCTCTGAGGGTGAAATAGCTGTTTCCTGGAGGCTTATTTGCTTGTCTATCAAAGGAGAGGCTAGGACCTTAGAAGAGGGAGGAGATATTTCTCGATTATGGCTGCTTGGTCTCACTGTAGTGACACAGATTCTCCTGAACTTGTTGAGAGGAGAGCAAAGAACGACAGAAGAGCATGTACATATATTATAATAGGAATGCCTCAGCTGGGGGGCTTTAGGCGAATGCTGGCACGCATTTGTATGTTGAGCTAGAGGCTTTCCACAATTTGTGGGATATGATGCGGCACTGTGCTAAGCAGCGGCCGTCGCTACTGCCTTTCTTTCACCGCTTCACCGGATGCTCAACTCCGCTGTAGTGTTTCCCTTCACATGCACATTTCGGCACACTCTCCACGGCAGAGAGGGTGCCGAAATGTCTACGCGCGAGATCCTGTGGATACCATGAGAAATTTCAATACTGTTTCCGCTTGAGCTGTTGAGTGCGGCTACAGCGGATATCAAATCTGACCATTACCCCCGAGTGCCCCGACCACAGCCCGTATGTGTTCCCCGTTTCACAAACAGCGTTGAACCGTGATTCTGCATATTATTTTGAGCTGTGTTTTGCTTGTGATGACACTGAGGGAGGCCTCCCTTGACGTGCTGAATGGCTACTTGATGGTTTTCAACTCGGGCTGAGTAGTACAGTGCAGCAGTAAATTATTGGCTTTTGTTTCTAGTCGGCGCCACGCTACGAAAGACAGTAAATGTGCCTTCTACGAGAACTGACAGGCAGCTCAGGCAACCAGGCCACGGATTTCCTTCAACCTCTCCACCTCTTTCTCTCCCTTTCTATATAGCAACACACTGTGCATGCGATGTGACGAGAATGCGCACATCCAGTCTTAAATTCTCTTCTCATGCACTATCAGTTCTCTGGGGGCCCAACAACCCCACCTGGTTCACGCAGGGACTGTCAGGCACTTTCAGAGTAGTGAGAAAGTGACAAAACATTGGAGAAACGGCAAAAAGCGGCACCGCAAAAAAACTACCGGCTTCTTTAAAGCAATCTTTTCAAAGGTTATATAGCTGCGGTCCATGCTGTGTAATATGCTGTACACACAGGGAAGAACACAGTACCCTAGGCCTAAAGGGTCGAACGGTTGCACTGCATCTTGCAGTAGGGGGGGAAATCCAAACAGACCACTCCGGTGATTTTGGCATTCCAAAGATTAATAACAAAGCAGCCAATTCAAAGCTGCCTCCGGGGAGTTTCTTAATTCTAGATTCTGAGATACCAAATAAATTTGCCTTTGTGTGGATTGACCGATGCACCAAGCTGTTTGGGAGAGTTGGTAGAATCACGTTCGTGACTTATAATAGCACACGGATACTGCTTCAACTACAAATGATCTTGGACCATTTGAACAAATAACTCACCAGTACTTGCTAGGTCGAATGGGAGATGGGGGTGCAAAGGAAGAGTAGCTACTGAGAGAAAGTGCGCTGCAACAAAGATGCATTAGTAGCCCCACAGTGCTACAGAATGCATAAGCTTCACTCAATACCTTCCTACCGAGCTTGCGTTTTGGGGAGCTAAGTGTCCTAAAACGGAAAACCTGGGTGGATATGTAAAGGCTTCCTCCCTTCCCCGCGCGCGGCCCCAAGGTTTCCCAGACAAAGAAAGAGGGACAGTCAAAGTGAGCGTTTCTGCACCCTCTATGCACTCCGACTACTCACAGCTAGTTGCACAAAGCATCTAGCACAGCGCTTACACACACCGGTGCGTTCACTTGTGTAGAACTAGCAGAAATGTGAAATAAAAAGCCTATGCGAACACCCAAACAAACAGGTCAATTCTCTATTAATTCCTGATTAAGTAAAAATACAGTATTAATAAGTGTCGAAATTTCGTTCGTCGCCGGCTGCGTCAGAATTGTTCACTGGGTTTAACTTGCTCGTGATCTGTCTGGGCGCGACAAACCGTTTGCAAAGGCGGGACGGCAGTGTGTTGCGAGTAATTCCAGCAGCCGGAGGGGAAAATGAAACTCCATTATTCATCTTTATCCGACTGCCACAAGTATAAACTGGAGCGAACCGGTGTTGTGGTTGGTGAGTGCTGTGTTTTCTTCCACCTCCCGCCTCCCACCCTGGGGGGCCCAGTGTATTGCAGTGGACTGTGTGTGTGGTTGCCTGAACTGTGGGTTTCATAAATTAAGTGAGGGTACTTTTCCATAGCTGATGCTTTTTTCGCATGTTATTTGTCATGTTTATTTCTGTCATGCAGTTTATTTATGCTTCTGTCCTGTTGGTTCCCTTGGACTGACTTTTATCGGTTTCTTTTGTAAGGTCACTTATTTGGTTTGTGGTGAAGGTACTTTGTCGTGCTGTTGTGCAAGTTACTTTTCGCTTCCACCTTTTTATTTTGTCATAAATGATTGCAATATAATCCGTTCAGGTATTTCTACCGACTTATTCCTTGTGACCTCCACATCAAAACTTTCTGTGGTGGTCTGACCGGCCTGGCTAGTGTGTACAGCGCATGCGGCTAACCGTACGCCTCGGGCCTTAGACAGCTGTTTCCATGAGAATGCTTATCAGAGGCAGAATGTACAGCGATCAAGGTGGGCAATGGTCCCCTAGTCCCCCTCCTGGACCGAAGTGCGCCCTTGAAGAACCCCACGATGCACAGGGAGTCGCCTTCAAAGTCCACCTCGGTTACCATAAGACAAAAGCCGCCGGAGGATCCCACCACATGCTCTCAGATGATGGGGCGATCCCAGACGACGCAGGTATACCTGACAGCGAAAACAACTACATAAATTGGAATAGCTGCAGCACCAGCACCAGCAGCAATGGTCGGGGCCTCATGCACTGGCAAGCAGCCCACGGCGACGGCTGGAGAGCCAGAGGAAAAAGTCTCAAAGCTCAAAGAAGCCGGAGCGTCAGCAGCCACAGCGATTCGGTTCGGAACGACCCCACAGAGAGCCCCACCAGTCAAGTGATGAGCTCCTCTGTGTCTCTGGACAGAGAAGAGAGCGAACTGAGATGCATGCGAAGCAGGCGCTCTCGGAGTCATACACGAAGGTTCTTGCATCGCCGAGAAGAGGCTGAGTGGCGCGAAGGGCGAAGAAGACTTAGGGAGCGCTCCTGGGACCCCACTGACAGAGGCACCGGAAGAGGAGATCACATGGAAAGGCGCTCTCCTACAACTCGCGGTCCTTGTCGACGTGGTAACAGGGGGGGTGGCATGGGAGTGCGTGGCAGAGGACGCCAGCCTTTTCCCTCCTGGGGAAGGTTTGGAGGTCGAGGGAGAAGGAGCCCCTCGTATTCACCTTCAGTCGATTCAGAAGAAGAATACAGACGATCAAGGAGTCGTGAGAGAGCACGCAGAAGGAGACAGGTATCTTGACACACATGCCAAGATATATATATTCGCTCTTTTACGCATCGTCTCCGATTTATCCTTTGTGTCCTTTTCTTCGGCGCCTGACACGTCCACCTGCACGACGGTGTGCGCGTGGCAGCTGCTACTTGTGTTACACGTAACAAATGCCAAGAGTCTGCGAGGCCCATGAAAAGGGCTTTGCAAAACTCACGGGTAGATAGCCTTTTCCCGGGTGTCTCGACATTGCGAATCATCCTTGCATTCTGTTTCGCACCCTCCGGTTTTCTCGAAGAATGGTGTTCGGTGTCCATCGCTTTCCTGCCTACCGCCTCTAGGGCCCCATTTCTCCCCACGGGGGCCCCTCTGCCGTTCTGCTGCAGTATGAAACAATTCAGAGGTACTGCCGTCCTGGGGGATCTCAGCAAGTGTGCTGGGATGGATTCCAGTGGGTCAAGAAATCGAACGACGGAGATGGTCTCTTTGATCAGCACATGAACGCAACGCGGAGGGCCAGAAGGCTGCACGTTGGTAAGTGCCTTTGAGGATTCTGAAATAAGCACGCATACACATATATGTATTCATGAGTAGCCTCGGTCAGATGTTCTCCACTCCTAGGCATAGGCACAAGCTCAAAGAAGCGAAACGGCCGAGAGATGCGCGTGTAGCAAAAAAATCGCAGAACCATGCGCATACAGATGGGCGCTGTCGTGACACCTGAACCCGTCATGGCCCCAAGCAGCGGCAGCCTTGCAGATGTGCATATGGTGATCGCCGGCGCATTCATGCATGTTTCGGTGCAATCACGTACACGAAGGTATTTTCTAATGCGCAGATGTATATGGATGGCCTTGTGTAGCTACGGAGGGGGAGTGAAAGTTTGCCAACAGGAGCGCAAGGACCGCCTTGATGTGGCGTCTGCGCTTCTTCAAAATGTGTTACTTATTAGGCAACCTGCCCCTATCGCTCGACGCAACGGAAGAGGATCTGAAGAAGTTTCTCTGGGATGCGTTGCGAAAGAGAACGGGCAAGCACGTCGGCGCCGGAGCCTGTCCTGTCCTTCACGTTTGGTTCTCAAAAGAAAGAGGATCCAATTACGGGTTTGTTGAAATGGCAACTGTAGAGGATGCACAGGCGGCGCTCTTGCTAAGTCCTCTTTTCTGGAAGGGGCAGCAACTGCGCATCAATCGGCCAACTGAATGGAAGAAGGATGCTGCGGAAGTCAACTTTGCGGAAGTGGCAGGGTATGGCGGAGCAGTACTGGGGAGCTTGCGGTCTGATTGAGGCCTCTCTTAAGGGGAGACCGCAGCAGAAGGATCAAGTGGCGTGGTGGCTGTTCCCCTTTGCCTTGTCTCTTGATGCATGCATACTCGCTGTTCAGGAGGGATGGTGGTCGAGGGGCGTTGCGGATCTTGCCGGCTGCAACGGCGCATCCTTTTGTCTTGAATTTGTAGCAAAGAGGGGCTTCTGGGGTGTCGGCTGTGGTCGTGTGCAAAGCATGGCTGTGTCTGTGTGTGTGTGTGTCTCTTTCTGTGCTCGCTTCTCCGATCGCTCAGAGCCGCGGATGCGACTTTGCTGGAGAGCGTTGCAGCGGCAGTGGGGGTTGCAGAGACAACAAGCGATAGTTCGATGCTTGCACGCCTTCTCTGTTCTCTTTCGGAAGCGCAGAGAAGAGTTATTGCGTGAGGAGGGCCACACAGGGGCTGCTGTCTGTACACTGCAGGGATTGGGCGAATTGAGGAGTATTGCCCAGGAGGGGCCCTTTAGGTCTGGCCCCTCTGCGTAGGTGGCTGTGCTGTAGATGACTAGCATAACTGATTGTTCGCATGTACATAAGGAGGAGAGACATGCGTAGAGGCATCGCATGCACAGCGTCTGACATTGTGCTCGGCAAGCGGGGTGAAATTGAAGATATCACTCCACGGGGTAGAGTGTTTGGGTGTCTCTGTCGCAGGGATTTCTTGGCAAAGAGCCCCACAAGTTTTACAAAGCAAGGATCTCTACCCGTCGAGCTGCTGCAGTGTCAAATACAAACTGAGCTTTTGCATGGGGTATGCTTACGAACTCAGCTTTCCCCTCCGGATGGCTGCCGTGGTGCTTGATTTTCTGCCGGGCTTTTTCATCGCTAGATGTATACACTTCCGCAGGCATAGGCAAGAGAAGGCAGAGGTAACTGTGTAGGAGGATGCGTGAGAGCAGCCAATTCGAAGCGGCTCCGTGGGGGCGGCTTCGCGAGAAGACGAACGAGAACAGCTCACCCGTGTGGTGACTTGGGGGGAGACACCCGATCCAGCAACAAGGAACAAGCTGCACTGCAATGAACGATTTCTATGAGTTGCATCTTCTGCCTTGCGATGAGCGAATCTGTGTGGAATTGCTAAAAATATGGCCACTGGCACGCCTGAGTGCTTTCTGATGCTTCTTTGAAACATATCTTCGTGTTGCTTTTCTACAATGATGTCGATTTTCCAAGGCCTTCGGCGAAGCGCTGCCGCTGTATGTACACATGCATGTAATGTGTGCAAGTGTAAGGTGGAAGGGATTATGGATATGCTGTCTTGTGGAATCCGCAGCAACCCTCGCGCGTTGTTCGCATAACGAATCCTGTGCCCGAAGCAGAGACAGCTGAGGAGCTGGAGGAAACGCTGTCGGATATTTTAGAGGAAGTCAACAAGCGGCAGGACGTTCTGGCTGCTCTGATTATCACGAAAGAGCTGGAAAAGCAGCTGCCAGCTGCTGAAGTGGGAGATATCTATGTGCAGTTTGCCACGGGCATTCAAGCGGACAAGTGCATCCTCTGTACGCTACGAATATGCTTCTAGTGAATCCACAATGAGAGGGGAGGCACACGAGATGCGAAAGGGAGGGAGGAGACTGCGAGAAGCATGGAAAGAGAGAGAAAACATGGGGGATATAGAGGACGCATGTACTGGGAGGGGAGGGGCAGCGACGCTAGAAACGGGAAAAAGAGTTTTCCCTTCACAATAGGCAGCAGAAGCCATTGATTACTTCATAAGCTTAAATGCTCGGAGGCTGCATGCTGAAAGAAGAAATCCACGCTAACTCTAACGCTTGCAGAAAAGACAGGAGGGCCCTTCTAGCCTCAGCACACAGAGTGCCTACGCATGCGCCATTCGGGGGCTGTGTGATGCTGATAAAGACAGTTCCGCGGGTGCTCCTGATCTCATCAAGTGTTCAGTTTTCCTCGTGGCGTGCTGCGTGAGGGTTCTTCATTGGGCTGTATGGGCTTTGGGGCTGCATGTGTGCGGGGGTGTGTATGTGCAGCTTTTGCCGGTCGTATGTATGACGGGCATCCTCTAGTCATTGAGCGCTTCAATGAGATGGTTTGGAGGCAGACGATGCAGCAACATGCTAAGAGCTTCCTAACGGAAATTCTCTCCCGGTTCATGTAAACATTGACCGCTTAAACGGCGAAAAAAACTTGCTGCAAAGCGTCATCGGCAGGGGCACACGCCAGACTTGCAAATTGACATACGCATTTGTCAAGAGAGGCCAGAGGCCTCGCTTCATAAAAGGAAAGAGGAGGACAGCCGAGAAGACACACCACCATGTTTGTTCCGCTGTGTACTGGTGCTGTGCCTTAGTCCTTGTATTTCGTTCCTCTGATCCTTCCGCACTCTTTGCTTTCTCAATTTTGTCTTTTAGCCTTTTCCGCTCCGCCCTTTTTGTTCCTTCTCATCGATTTTTCTCCGTATTTGTGCGTGAAATCACGCTTTTTCTTTGTCCATTCCTTGTCGCGCACTCGGTATTCCAACTTTTGTTTGCTGTCAAACGGCCAAATCCAGGAGAACGGGCACTGCCGCTGCCTCCCCGAGTGGGTAGGGTCTCCTCTCTGAGGCGTTAGCTTTCCAGAGCTTCGATGCTTTCCAGAGCTTCGATGCTTTCCAGTGGAAGACGCAGGCATATAGCATTGTCACCAGCGTTCAAGTAGGCCACGCGTCCCCTCCACTGTAGCGGCAATAGGGCCTGATGCTTAAGGAGGCAGCACCAGGAGATGTGCTCGAGAGAGAGAGAGAGAAAGAGAAATAAGGCTAGAGCAGGCGACATTGGGAAAGACTCGTTAGTGGTGCAAGGGCACACGGATCACCATTACACGAGAACGAACGAGGCACCCTACTGCTGCCCTTTCATCAGCCAGCTCCCCACACGAGACCTTAAAAAAAACATCCGAACTCTGTCCCACGCGTTACAGAAAGAAGACAAGTCGGGCCGAACGTCAACACAAATCGACACCTTGTCTCCTTCGCCTTTCCCATCGTAATAGTCAATGATATACCTGAGCCTCAGAATACACGCACCCTCCACTTCTCCTCATAGGCACCCAAAACTTGTCACACACACACAACCCCTGCCCGATCCAAGAGTGCGCGCAAGCAAGCAAGCAAGCACTGCAAAAGGGCGGCACCGAAAGGGTTGCAGGAGCAGTGGATGCACATATATGCGCTGCCTATTGCGACTGCGTCATGCCACTAAAACACCTCGACTCTAGCAAGTTCGAAGTGCCCCTGCAACACATATGTCCCTTGCGTAGAAAGGGACGCTAGAACAGGAGGCCGACTAGGCGAGAGTAGGGAGGAAAGAGCATGCCGCGCTTCTGATGTGCTCCGTAGCGATGAAACGGCATCCCACTACACACACATGGAAAAGACGTCTGGATGGGAGAAAGCAGAGTGGCAAGCAGCAGGCTTCACCTTATGTTCTTCCCACATCTGTCGACAAGCCAATCATGCCTATCAAAGGGCCGCTCAAATCCTCCCCAGTGCCTCAGCCTGGCCTTGAGGCTCAGCTCGCTCGGCCTCCCTACGAACCGGATCAGCTTCGAGGCTGCGCAAGTGTCTCCATGCAGCGCTTCCCATTCTTTGATCTGACGCCACGTTTCCTCATTCACTGCATTGTGTATCGCTACCACTGCGGGCATGCTCCCTGCCCCAACTGCGTGGCCCTTCCTTAGGGTTGCCTGTAGGTTTCAGAAACAGACACAGCAACAACGCCATGAGGGAAAGCGCGGAAGTCACATGCTTCGCAGACTCTAGCTCGGAGAGAAGAAGCCTTTTCACACGAAAGAGGGGGTTACTGGAGGAAAAAACACACATGCAGGACCCCGCGTCCAGCTGTCGTTACAGACCGCTGTGAAGGGGGAGTGTCATCGGCTGCTGAGCTAGCTCTAGCGTGCAATTCACAGAAGGCTTCCGTACCGTGTAGAATTGCTTTTCAGAGGGATATTTCCAGTGCCCCTCCTTCGAGGGGATTGAAGAAGAAGCCCGCTCAGTAGAGAGGCCTGGAGGCACCTGGATGTTGCTAGAAGCAGCAGCTCCCCATTCTCGTTCTGCTTCCCCAGACTCGCTGTCTGTACCCCGTGCGAGTGGACAGCCAGAGAGCCTCATCTCAGATGTCAAAGGGCATTCGGGCATGGTTCTCAGAATAGGATACGACAGGCGCTTGTGAGAAAAAAACTCGTCTGTCTCTGTCTGTTCGGTCGTGTGCGGTCTATATGGTGCTGCCTCGTCTGCCCCCAAGCCCTTTGATCTGCCTGCTGTCGCTCGCCGTAAGGAAAAAAGACAGTCTCCGGATAAGAAAAATCGCCTCGGCTCCGCTGCAGCTGGCATTCAACGTAGGCGGAAGGCAAGCCCGCCGTAGCAGCGGTGTGTCTTTCCTTGTCGAGTTTCCCTCGAGCCAGATAATGTCTCCACTTCCCTTACACGAGCGAACGGCGTCCATAAGGCTCCCTCTCACGCTGCTGCGTCACTGCAGCAACAGAGCAGCATGCAGACTCCCTGTGAAAGGAAGGGGGGCCTCTATGGCGAGGGATACGCAGATCCTCCCCAACAAAGCAGGCGCATGCAGGGCCTCCCGCTGTTTCTCCTTTTCGCCGAATGCAAGCGAGAAGGAAGGAAGCAGAAGAAAGTTAGGAGAAGAAAGTTAGGAGAAGGACCCCTCGAGGTAAGGTTCTCCGTGGACTAGCAAGGCCCTAAAAAGGGAACGGGCTTTAAATACGGGTGAGCAGAAGAGAACCCCCCTTAATGGTTTCAATCTACGGATGCAATATGAGAAGGACGGAAAAAAAGGCAAATATCGCCGTAAGTGCGATAGAGAGGTACTAAGTCATAGGGCTGGGGCCCCCTCCCCCAACTACGAGCCGTAGACGTAGCATGAGGCACCTATGTGTGTACGAGCAAACCCTGTTGACGGTATTGTTAAAAGTATTTTTCCTCTCTCGAGTAGAAAGGGGGTGATGCGTTTCGGGTGCTTCCTCTTGACCGTATGCGCGCCATGTATCCCGTATTATGCGTTTCTCCCGTAGAACGCTGCACATGAGGAGTGCCGCCACACTGTCCTTGACACAAAAAAGACATGAGATCGTGAATGCTGAGGAAGTTTCAGTGAGGAGTTCATCATCCTGGCATGCGGCACCGCCTCCATACAGGAATAGGGGGGGGGGGCGAATCCTGCACGCAAAGTCGCAAGCCGTAAGTACCACCTCTTCAGATTCGCGCTGAGACGTCTGCTTTTCCTCCAAAATCCTTTCGCTTCGCGCGGCTGCTGGCAGGCTGGTTCGTGGCTTCAAGACAACGCAGACTGCAGGCAGGCTTCTTCCGACAGCCGTACAATCCATACAGAAACTGCCCGTAGAACGTGTTTGAGGTTCGAGATAAGGGTTGTCATATGCCCTCCGTGGCTTGGTAGGCTTCGTACCCATCATTCAGCCGTGCGGAGCTGCAAGTCAGCAGCTGTCTTTCTGCTTGCCGATTCGCCGGAAAACGAAGAGCAGCGTTTTGCCGCATCTCGCCCCCAATGACCGACACGTTTTCCAGTCTCTCCTTGCAGATACACCCCATCTGAGCCAGGTCCAGACGCAGCGTACTGAAAATGATGGTCGGTGACCCCTTGAACACCACGCAAGGAGATCAGCAGGAACAGAGGGCCCATCGACTTCGCTTTTTTATGACCTTGTTCCTCCTCTTTTCAACATTCTTCCTCATTCGTGTGCAGCAAGACACCTACTCCCACAACCATCAGCGGAGGCGTCGCAAGGTGAGTCTCTGCCTCCATGCGAAGGGCCCCAAAGACATTTTTTGAATCCTTGTCAGTGTCTGTACACACGCCAGTCAAGGCGTTATCCGTACGCGGGATGTGCGTCATGGTGTAGCAGCGAATGCAACGTGCGAAATGAGAACAGTTCGCTTGGTCTTTTGAGTCTACCTCAGACATGGCTCGGTATTCAGCCTTGTTGAATCCACGCCATAGCGCAAGAGTTCCGTCTGCAGACGCATCTAAAGAAGCGTCTCGGGGCCTCCTGAGGCGCGCGCGAATGATTTGCGAGTTGTCTTTGCACATTTTGTGCGCAGAACGACCCCTTCCTGTCCCCGGAAGCCGCCTCCCTCGATGTGGTGTACATACACCAGAACGTCAACCGGGCCCTCTGGGTGCGTGGGAATACGGCTACCGGTCCGGTGCTAACTTCTGCCTTCCTGGCATTCCTCCCCGGGGATGCAGTTTTCCCCGCTGCTGCCTCCAGCGAGCACCTGCAAACTCCAGTTTCTCCCGAAGGCTCCCATGGAGGTGGCTCCCAGTCGCCATCCGCCGGCTACTTTGACGTATTCGAACCTCTGGCAAGTCTGCGTCAGGCGGTACCCCCAAGGGGGTCCTGGGCAGTGGAGTCCACGAGTTCATGGGGCCCCAAGATGCATGTTGCTGCGCAGACGGAGGTGGGTGGCGTAAAGCTGCCCTCTGTGGTCGGCGTGTACAGAGACACTCGGCTGTACCGACACGGCGATTTCCCAGGGTGCGACGCGGGAGCCAACGATCACTGCCTCCTCGCACTCGTGCGACTGCCGCTTGCTGCTTGCAATGGATCCCACATTCATGGCGGCGTGCCTGCCGAGAGAACCTTGTCGCCGATTTCGTGGACCTGCACGGGCTTGGTTGAGACAAGGCGCTCTGCAGATTTCCCGAGAGAAGCGAGGGAAGCAACCGACCTGAACGCGCCAGCATGCATCCGAGTGGTTACTGGGACCTCTCTGGCGGCCATAAGTGGCTACGCCGCGGAGGCGCTGAAGAGGCCCTTCCTTCGTTCTGTGGGTTCTGCGGGAGCTCTCTTGCAGTTCTGTGGGGCCCCTCTGCCTCAATTGATATCGGTGGACGTGATTGCCGGCAGAGTCTTCTTCGTGCAGCGCTCGAGCGTGCCGACGGCTGCGCGGCGACTGTCAGACGCCGACTCGGGGGAAGGTTTGAATGTGGACTTTCCAGGGGTCTCTGCGGCGGCAAGCGAAGAGAAATCGACGGGAGACGGCACCTCGGAGGGTGGCGTTCCGCGAGGAATAGGTGGCGAGACACCTGGGAATCGTAGCGACGATGCCTCCCTCTCCCCGGAGGCGCTCGATACTGCAGGACGGCGTCTGAGCAGGGCAGCAGAAGGCGAAGGCCTTGCCTCTTTATGCGTTGCATACGCGTATCTGGATGGATTCTACGATGACGTCTCTCAGTGCCTCCCTGTGGTTACGGAGTCTGAGGGGAGCGACGCGTTAGGCGATCCGGTGTACCTCCAGGTAGATCCCTTGACGGATGCCCTCATGTTTGCGGCGTTTGATCGGGAGGGGCAGATGGTGCTGTCCGTCCACCACGCGCTCTCTATGAGGAGAAGGTTTGCCGTGCGATTCGAAGGATTCAGATCGGGTAGGTTTTCGACCCTACCGAGGATTTGTGCATGCATGCATGCACAAATCTTGCAGCAGCAGCAGGTTGTTAGGGGGCGGGGTGCAGCCCACGGTATGCGTGTAGCTCGAAAACCGCGCGCAACGCCAGGGATCTGCGCGATGCAGTTGACTCCCATGGAGAAACAATGCAATCCTCCGAAGCGGGGAGGGACAGCAGAAATGTGATGCGCGAGGCGTTCGGGGGGATTCTGGCGATGCAGGCGCGACGTGCGTCGTTGCTTTTCGTTTGCTGTGCTTGCAGGTCGACTGATGGCTGAGGAGTTCTCTAGTTTGGGGAAGATCCTCGTCACTGGTAGGCTTTTTGGAGCGCAGCTTTGCTGGGGCTGAGCCCAGTGAATTGTGGGAGATAAAGGGGGGAAGGGGCAGGTAGCTTTGTCCACTCGAGACTGAGTTCGGTAGTTGGAGGCAGAGGCAGCTTCTTGACCTCGGTGGGAGTGAGTAGCTGGCGAATTGGCTGGAGAGACACGTCTTAAGGGTTCTAGCTACACGATATGGGAAATCGAGAGGGAGGACGAAAAGCTGTCTGCGCGGTGTATCTCATGGCTGCATGGAGGTTCCTCCGAGGACAGGGGGCAGCGCGCATGTTCCCGTGCGACGCTATTGTGTGCTCGCTGCAGGTGACGACGAACCGTATAAAAATCGCATAGACGTGATAGATGTCTCCACAGGGTTTCACGAGAGGATAGACATGCCTTCCTCGTAGAAATGACGCGCCCTACTGCATGCCCTGATGGCTGCTGAGCTATCGTCTATCTGCTTTGTAGGGAACCTAGAGCATTCAGCGTGCGTAGCGAAGGGGGGGCGGGGGGAAGGGGGAAGATTGTCGCGCAGTTCTTTAGGAGGCTTCCTCCCCTTGGCACGTCGCCGTAGACCTCTTTTCCTCATCGTTGAAGTGCGTAGGACGCTCGCTAGGGCGCACTGCTTGTGCAGCGAGCCATATATGGCTCAAGGACCGCTATACACTTGAACTTGTTCTACGCCAGAGGCAAAAAAACTCTGCCTGAAGGTCGTCTTAAGGCTCTTTGCGCCTGTCCTCCAATCCACCCTGTAGCATTTAGGCGCAACAACGCTGCTGAACACGTTTCGCCTAAGAAACTTCCTCGCGCACAAATCCTGGCATTCTTTCTTCGTGGCACGATTCCAAAAGTCATATCATGAATTCTGGAGCGCTTTATCCAAGAGCTCCTTAGGAAGAGACCTGGTTTCCGACTGAGTGGAAACTTCATAGCAAGCTATTGCTCCCTGAGAAACTCAAACCTTCCTGCCCGCCCGCGACTGTCCGCATTCCCTGTGGGAAGGGTAGGGTACAGCTAGTGGGCGAGTAGCTGCACTCTCTCCGAGTATCCACTGCTCTCAGTGCAGCGCATCTAGTGCTCACCCTCACGGCATTGCCTCTTCTAATGCCTATCAGGCCTCTCCGATAAATTAGATATGTGAACAAACAAACCCAATTGGCCGAAGCCGCACTAAATCCTGGAGACTACAACTAGTTTAGTACTAGGTGTCAAAGCGTCGCTTATCCGCTTCTCCAGTCCCTCCTTCCCATTTAAAATCGTGCGTTCTCGCGTTCCGTGTCTCTACGTCGAGGCCACCGGCATGCGCGGGGGGAAAGTGTCACCGCCCTATCGCCACTTCCCATGCAGGCAAAAACGCAAAATCAAGGCACAATGCGAAAGGCAATTGTGTGCATCAACCGCCAAAGCAAGCCAGTGGGCAAAAAGCACTCACGCACAAGCCAAAAACGAACGACGGACCAAGCCAGCATGACCACCTAGGCGCGGTAGCTCGCTGTCGCCAAAGTGCTAGAAAGTGTGAGCCTCCTGTTGCGAGGGAGCAGAAGAAAAGTAAATTGTGTTCAGGAAAATAAAAGCACAAACTAAGTTGGCAGTCCTTCGTCGCCCATGGGTCTTTCGCTGCATGCGAAATACAGTGGGGAACGTAGCATGGTCAAATTACTAAGACACAAAAAAGGCACAGGGCAGAATGCACGGGCAACATACTTTAGGGTGTCTGCGCATACGTCTGATTGTGAAGGTAACCGTAGCCGTAATGATCGGTAATGCGCCACGCAATATCCATAGATAAATGTAGCTACTCGAGGAAGAGCATGCGCTGGGGGAAAGCAATAATCAAGGGACGCGAGGAATACTGTCCACGGCGACTAGCATTGTTAACCATTCAAAGTCGCAACCTTCGGCAGAGAACGAAGTCCTCAACTGCTCCTCTGTTAGCTACTGAGCTTGGCGTTCCCAGAAATTATCGTGGATTTTGTCTCGGTTCTCCATAGTCCTGGAGTGCAGCATCTCTACTCCCCTTCTGGATCATGCGCCTCCACACGGTTCAACTGCCTGCGAGGCAAATCCGCGAAAAATTTGGAGGAATTTTGTAGCATCCTTAGGAGATTAATGTTGGTAGTTCTGTGGCACCTAATCTTCCTTGCAAAGCCACATGAGAAGCAGCCTTTGTCTACGAAAGGATACGTATGCTTTAAGCCACCTGGCTGCAAGCTTCTTCATCCAGTCACTCTCTGGTGCACCTTGAAAAGCCTGTCGATGCACCAGGACAAAAAATCAGGCATGAAATGCACAGGTTACCACCGTTTGTCATCAGTCGTCATCTCACTCAGGCTTTGCCCATTCATTTGCGTGCACCAAGCATGTGTTCTCTGAATCCCCTTACTGTTCAGGATGGCTGCTGGCTCAAGTCTTCGAGCTCTAGGCTTGAATAGGAAAAATGCTTTTCGGTGTAGAGTAGGGTTGCCCGGAAGCAATCATCATGCCAGTGAACTGTTGTATTACAAATTCACTCAGCAAAAAGGAGAAAACAATGCCAAGGAAAATAAATTGCATTGGAATAGAGTCGCACATATTAAAGAAGAGGCGACTAGTGAACTCTGTGTATCCCCCTGTCTCATAGTGGCTCGCAAAAATCTTACTCTGCTTCATGTATGGGCCGGTCACAAAGGCACGGCAGAACGCATTAACGAGTTTCAGATTCCCATTCATAATGGGAACTCAGTGAAGCTTACAGATGTGAATCTGAATTGACTGAGACACTTTCTGACCCGTGGGAGAGCTGGATACATCGACATATGGGTCCTCATTGCTCCGTCAACAGCAGTGCAAATGCTATTCTGACCCTTGACTCCCGGCAGTACAAAAATAAAGTACCTAGTCAGATCGGTACAAATCTTTTCGGGAACAGAAAGGCTTTGCAGAGTTCCAGAGTTTGTAGAATTGACGAGCTTCACTTACTGACAATCCAAGTACCCAATTGCGTACTCCTCCGGCGCTGACGCACCCCAAACCTTCGAAAAAGACCGCGAGAGCCTTTTTACAGCATTCCCTAAAGGATGGGATTTTTCGCAAAGCGGCACTAAAGAGCAAACTTGGAAAGCTCAAGCAACGTGATCCCCGCGCTATTTCGGGGCACAGAAGGCCCTCATCAACGTGGAAGCGTTTCTCTCTTTGCCATTGTGGGTTTTGGCAGCTGCAGTGGATGCATGGGTGTAAAGTGCATAAGGCGCATTCAATTTAGACAGAAGCGGTGAAGTATCACCGACAAGAGCACTTGAGCTGCACAGCAGTGAATTGCTGGGGCGTCTCGACAGCGTGCCGGCGACCAAGTTGGTCTTGGCCCCGATACACTTCATTGTAGAGTTGTACTGCTGAAGCTGGGTAAGCCAGGGCCAAAAGCTAGGGTTGACGAAGCTCTGAAAGCCCTTTGTTGGGTAGATTTGAGACTGATTGCTGCTTCGGATATCAAAATGCATACCACATTAATGGTGCCGACATTTTTTCCACGGCTTATTACACTACATAGAGCTCTTTTTCCCCGCACTGAATAGCGTTACTCGGCTTATGTGAAGCGATTAGAGTAACAGGCCATAGTGTGGTGTTTCGGAGAACCTGTAGCCTTTTAGTACAGAATAGCACCCGTCGCTGCACCACTAGCCTTGATTGTTTTGAAGACACGGCACTCATATTCGAGCTGCACCAGTAGTGGAGGAGTTGTGGAATGACCAATACGCATGATTTCTGTGACACCAGTCCCCTTTGTCCATGTCACAGACTGCATATTCTGGACTAAAGTAAGCTAAACGGCAGTGATTCGAGAAAACCGGGGAACGACTTTCCAGGAATACGATGCAGGACAAAGAACCACTGCAACTATCTTGTAGGTGCCCACTGCTTTGATTATCGTCGGATCCGGCCCAATCCTTACTGCTGAAACGCGAAAGGTTCAGGAAAGTTGCTGTACTTGTGGATAGAAAACTTTCATGAGCCTTTGTGTACCGCTGGTGGTCTGTTAACAGCGGGCGCGCGCTACAGCTGCTAGGGCGTCGTGCACCAAGATGGCATTTCACCAGTCCTTGATCGGATTACTCAAATTTTAGTTGGCCTAGCCAAACAGCTTAGCTGGGGCATTGACAAGTGTACACGACATATATGTAGACTCCATTTTGCAAGTGCTAGTGTGGAACCCCCTTTTGTTCTGATCATCAGTGTGAATGGGCATTTGTGAAAAAACGTCTGTGAACTCAAATGTTGGGTGGATTAACGATCCGTGTAATGTATCAAAAGAACTCCCCAATATAAAGCAACGGGAGCTTCAGGTTTAGAGTGACCCTGTTTGGTCGCAAAAAGGTAATGCACAAGATTCACCATACATCCTTCTGGCCCAATCACTGGGTTGTACCCCAAAGCACCAATCGAATCCTGCACTTGACTCCGTTTCACCAAATTATCCACCTGCCGCCCAGTTTCCTCTTCATGTTGTGAAAGCCTTATGCCGCTAAAAACAGCTTCAGGTTAAACCTAGAGTTAGCTTACAATCGTCCGCTGGACGACCAGCAGGTGGCCAGCTTGCTGGCAGTTCCCTCGTATTCAGCCCATTCACGATCTCTGCATCGATTTTTGTGAAATACTGTTGTGCCTCAGCTGCACGTCTTATTGAATGCTCCAACGGAATGCCAGCTGCAGAGCCAATAAGACGGGATGCGTCCTAGGAACCGCCCTTTTTGCTGCTGTGCTAAGCTCGCACGAAGACTCTGGCTGGACTTGTAGAGGCACCAATCGTACACCTCTCAGTAATAATCAAATGAACACTGTTAGGGAAAGCATAGAGCGTTCCTTTTAAGCGCTCCCTGCCACGCTATAGTCTACAGCATGCAGCTGTCGCCCCATGCTCTCCTTCCAGTGGGTCGCCCATGGCGTGACTGGGATTACGTCATGTTGCACGGGTACCTTGAATGCACGCACCATGCTGATAGAAGCCTTATAACCGGATTTCAATCTTATCGTGCTTTGAACTGCTGTGACACTGACAATTTTTATCATCCATCGCATCCCAGCAAAACTAATTTTATGGAGCTGTGCTAGCGAATGCCTGATTGCGCCACCCCGACTTCTACTCACATAACAGACCCACTTCATATCCAGCGTCAATTGACTTCACCGAGTATTAACCAATGGTATAAATTTGTACTGGGGGTAGAATCGGTATGTGGTGAGTCCCCAGCTGGAACTCTTTCCTCCATTGCCTGCTTCACTACACTGACTGCGGGAGAGGCTTTACGTTTCTCTGATCGTCTTTTTTTTGCTCGCCAAACAGCTGGATTCCGTGAGACTCAATCCCGCATTCTAAGCTCTCGGGGGTTTGTATGCGTTTCCAGTGGAGTATATGACAGAACACGCCGCAATG